TTAATTAATCATCTTTGCTATTTTCATAGATTGGGAACATGTCTATCCTATTAATCATCTTTGCTATTTTCATAGATTGGGAACATGGCTGCCTTTGACATGGATGATCCGCTCTCTGTGGTAAGTCCCGGCGGTGTTGGTTTTGATATTAACTGTGGCGTACGCTTGTTAAGAACCAATCTGTATGAGAAAGATGTACAACCTGTCAAAGAACAATTAGCCCAGTCATTATTCGACCATATACCAGTAGGTGTCGGTTCCAAAGGCATAATTCCCATGAATGCTCACGACTTGGAAGAAGCTCTAGAAATGGGTATGGATTGGTCATTAAGAGAAGGTTATGTTTGGTCGGAGGACAAAGAGCACTGCGAAGAATATGGCCGTATGCTGAATGCAGATCCATCTAAAGTAAGCTTGAGAGCTAAAAAGAGAGGTCTTCCACAGTTGGGGACTTTGGGAGCAGGCAATCATTATGCCGAAATTCAAGTAGTAGATGAAATTTTTGATAAATGGAGCGCTTCCAAAATGGGTATTGAAGAGAAAGGCCAAGTTGTGGTAATGATACATTCGGGAAGTCGAGGTTTTGGACATCAGGTTGCGACTGATGCATTGGTGCAAATGGAAAAAGCTATGAAACGGGATAAAATTGAAACTAACGACCGACAGTTGGCTTGTGCCCGCATCAACTCAAACGAGGGCCAAGATTATTTGAAAGCAATGTCTGCTGCCGCAAATTTCGCCTGGGTTAACCGAAGCTCTATGACCTTTTTAACTCGGCAAGCATTTGCCAAAATGTTTCGAACCACACCTGACGACCTGGATATGCATGTCATATACGATGTCTCGCATAACATTGCTAAAATAGAAAATCATATGGTAGATGGTAAGGAAAAGAAATTGCTGGTCCATCGCAAAGGTTCCACACGAGCATTTCCTCCACATCATCCTTTGATACCAGTAGATTATCAGCTTACTGGACAGCCTGTTTTGGTAGGGGGCACAATGGGAACTTGCTCCTACGTTTTAACTGGTACAGAAAAAGGCATGCAAGAAACATTTGGCTCTACATGTCACGGAGCGGTAAGTTGAACAATTTACTAAAATGAAGAGGAACAGAATTATAGTTACAACCTTTAATTAGGGTCGTGCGTTGTCGCGTGCCAAATCGCGACGAAACCTCGATTATAAAGACGTTTTAGAACGATTGGAAGAAATGGGAATAGCAATACGTGTCGCTTCACCTAAACTCGTTATGGAAGAGGCACCCGAGTCCTATAAAGATGTAACAGATGTTGTAAATACTTGTCATGCGGCCGGTATCAGTAAAAAATGCATTAAACTACGACCAATCGCCGTCATAAAAGGGTAGAATGCTCAAATATGTACGCATGTGTATGGCTTACATAGGAAGTTTTTCGCCTATAAAAATTAAGGAAGAAACGCTTATTTATTAATTGGAAATTTTAATAAAAGTCGGTATTAATATCTTTCGTAAATATCGTAACGATCATTTTATGAGAAGTAAATTCTCAGGATTTTCCATTGTTCTTAAATATGTTTATATTTATTTTCTTTGGATTCAGAATCGCTTCTTTTCTACAAACCTAAAACATTAACTACAGCCGAAGTTTTCAACTTGTACGCAATTACGGATACCCGCGCAAAATATTTGCGTTGCTTCAACGCACTCGAATTTTTAATTAAAATTCATATACGCTTTTAATAATGAAGGAAAGTAATTGATCGAAAAACTATTTATTTATTTATTTATTTTTTTTGGGATATTAAGATGGAATTGAAACTCTATACTCTACATATATATACGTAAATTATGATTGGATGTGAAATTGATAATGGGCATGAAAATGTCATCTTTTATTATATTGCTTAGAATACACCTTTGAAGTTACGCAGATAGGTTTTGTAATAATACACAACAATGCATATTTTCTTAATATTATTATTATTATCCGCGTAGATCATTTTAGCCCGCCGAACTACTATTTTTCAACAATGTTTCCAAGAATTTTTTGGTTTACAACGGAAATTTGTGAAGTGTGTATATGTGCGTGTATAACAAAAAATGCAAAGAAGATGAAGTAAACAAATAAACAAACTAAATATAAAACTTACAAAAGAAATTGCGGAAAAAAATTGCAAATTGCAAATTGCCAAGCATTTTTTTTAAATAGCAAACCGCATCTTTATAACTTCTATATCTATGGTTTGGCTATTTGGCGGTTTAACTATTTCATTTTATGTTATATTCTGATATTTCCAAAAGATCTTTGCTCTTTCGTGGGAATTTTCTTGAGTATTGTTATACATAAATTTGCAAAACTTGCCTGTTGTTTGAACTGAATTGTAATCTGTCTTCGTCACCTAATAAAAAAGTTACTGATGATCGCGTTACGTCTAGTAATTCCATATTTCCATTTTTTCTCGCTCAATCAAATTTTCTCCTTAATTCCGCATTTAGTTATTCCTTTTCAAAATTTATGGCTCCAACAGGTAAGAACATCGACAATAATTATTTGATTTCATTATGTTTTCCAACATTTTGGAATTCCTGAGATTAAGTAATCTTTTTACATCAATTAATTTTATGAAATAAGTAGCTTCATAATGACATTTTACTTTACTTTACTTTTGAACGTGAATCCAAATTTCAAATTCGATATCGAAATTGGTCGTAAACCGTAAACTTACGCATTTCAAAACACTTCCTCACACAACAAATTATGCTGTAGCGTTGATTTTGTTGCTTTTCTGGCCTTGCCAGCCGTAGATACTTCGTACGATATAATGCGATATGAGGCGGGTGTTGCCACATATAAAATTTTTTATGTAGAATACAATCGGAGACGTCCTGTAATTCTCTTATTGTAAGATATAACAAAAATGAGAAAATTACATATGACGAGAAGTTAAAAAATTTAGACAAAATTATTTTTCTACAAAAACACCAAAATTTGTTACAAAAAAAAAAAAAAATTCATTTGGTTAAAAAAAAATTATGAAAAATATCAAATTACTCACAATTAAAGCATCAAATGCAAGAGAATTTTAATGAATTTTAATTTGACGAAAACAACTGAAGAAGAGAGGAGCCGCAAGAAATAGCAAAAAAGGCGCTACCTAAAAATCGGTTTGTAAAACATTAAAAATTGATGAAAGCTTTGTAAACTGTATAAATCCTAGGAAAATAAATAAATATACTTTTCTCTGTGCATAAAAGTGCTTGTTGTGCCTTTGCTTCTGCTAACTCTGATTGACTTAACAATGTCCCGTTTCCGAGAAAATACAATAAGTAATGATTTGCATCACAGCGATCACCAGAAAAGCCTAACTCGTCCATGTACTGCAAAAGAATGCCAAATTGTTAGAGAGCGTTCCCGCAGTCCTTATCATCCAAGAACTTACTTGCCAAAAGGAAATGAATCTGTCACAATTTCTTCAAGTGAAGACGAAGAGCAAGAAACTCTGGAAGAAGATATAACTAGTTCATCTGGGTCTAGTAGCAGCGATTTTGAGGGTTTTACAGACACAGAGGAGAGTCAGGAACAGCAAGAATCAAGTGAGGTTATACAAGTGCACACACGTTTCAAATTACGTATCCCTTGCAAATCTGCTAAGGAGCACGATAACATAGATGTCAAAGATGGTTTGAGAACCATAAAATTTACTGGTAATAAGGAAACTGATTCGGAACGTACGCTATACAATAAAACTATAGAGAGAAATGCGGTCACACATACACGGATTGAGAAAAAGTCATTACCACCAATTAAGCGTTTAAAGCAACAGCGAGATAATACAGGTAAAGGCACGTATATCAAGGCGTTGCGAATATATGTTTATCTTTTACTTAATTTTAGTGCAAACTCATTTAGAAACGTCAGCAGATCAAATTGTAGAAATTTCATCCGATTCTGAAATCAGTCCTCGAAGACAAAAAAGGTCGCAAATCAATAATAAAACTCCGCTTACTACAAGCCATAAAAATCTTACAACTGGCAATAATAAATGTAGCCCTGAATCTCCCAGTGAATTTCCTGCAACCTCACCTTCAAATCCCCAACAACACATGAAGGGCGGAAAATATGCATCTCGATCATCTTTATTAAAAAACACTTTGCCGTCGGATTCTTTTGAACGTAAATTGGCCACGATTACTGCTCGTAGACCGCCAATGAGTTTGAAAGAAAAAATTGAATCATGGCGCTGCGATATGGAACTAAGTGATGTTGAAGATGTAAATGCATTCGATGACGAGTTTAAGCGCTATGAAGATTTTAAGAGGAAACAGTGGCGGCAAATAAAAAGAGATAAAAGAGATTTAGGACAAGAATACGTGGCTGACTTAATGAAATATGATTTTACAGAGTTTCGAAAAAAAATGTTTAGCGCACTAAAGGATAAATGTCATACTCGCGGCGGCGGCGGCGGAGATAATTCGGAAACTGATACAAGTGAAAGTGTTAGAATAATGGAGGACAAACCCTCGACATCAGCTGTAGCATTACAACAAAAACGAATTAATTTTTCTCAACGCATCAGCCAACATTCGCCTGAAAAACTGCAACATAGGTGCGTCAAGGATGCAGCGAAAAAATCGCCCATTTCTACTACTCCACCTTGTTCAAGTTCATCTAGCGAAAAATCTGCCACTACTCCCGATAGCAGAAAACCTTATGAACAAACAGAAGCACGTAATCTTGACAGGCTTTTGCGACACAATAGCTCTGAAGGAATCAGTAATCATCATCATCGTCATCAGCTGAGACAACTAAATTCTTGTCACATTTTAAGTCAATCACGCGCCGAAAGAAAATGTGAAATGCCCAGCGCACACGAGTATCCAGCGAACACCCAATGCAAACAGCACATGGAACTGCCGAAAGAAAAGAAAATTTCAAACCCTTCGCCATTGAGTGCTGAAACTGTTAAATCGGTTTTTAAGCTACATGAGTTAACATGCGAAATGGGTAAGGGTTTACCACAAGCTGATAATAAAATTAATGACCCAAAAGGTTTAATTCAAATGCGCTTGGATTTTTCGGAAAACAAGAGAGGTTTACATCTAAAGGAAAAAACACAAGAACTGTTCAAAGATCCTACAAGAGTACAAAATGACTTTAGTGTTTGTAGCAAAAGCAATAAATCACCGATTAAAAGTTCAGTATACAAAGACAAGGCAACGTCATGTGAATCATCCCTGATGCACGAAGAAAATAAGCGATCAATAGGCGCGGAGTATTTTGAAGAAGAGCAACCGCAAGCTTTTGACGCCCAGGCAGGCAATACAGAACATGCTTGTCACCAACAATATGAATTTTGCAATTATTTAGGTTTAACCGGGATGTCAACGGCCACTGCGGTGGCCAACGCTATGGCGGAACTAGCTCAATGCAATCTAGCTAGACGTTCAATGCGAGTCCTAAGGCAGCAGCAGAAGGAACGTCAAGAAAATAATCAAAAAAAAGATGAGCTGAATCTACTGGTATTGAAACAAAAACATCTGAAAGAAATGAAAAAACGTGAGAAGGCCGGGGAAATATTGAAGAGAGTGGCATTTAGTGGAGAGTTGTAAGTATTTTTTGTTCTGATGCTTAAAATGTATAAAATTTAATTAAAAATTACTTCTTAGTGCTGAAGATACCTATGAAATGCTGCCGCGTGATTTGCGTTCTCTAAAGGAAATAAATCAAAATTCCGTAATAGGTTTTAATTCTCTTAGTCAACCTTCTGTAACGATCGTAAAAAACGAGCCCGAAATTAAAATTTTATGTCATATTAGCGCTAACAATAAAGAAGAAGCTGAAGAGAAAAGGAAAGCCTACGTCAAAGAAATTGCACAGCCCTTAAGAGACAGTCTAAAAAGACATTTGGAACAACAAAAACTTTTGCTCGCGGGTAGTCAAGCTGAATACAAAGAATGCGACGATACACTAATAAAGAAAAAGTCGTTCAGGGCAGATGAACAAGCTGATAAGCCCAAGAGCGTTGCTGATTTAACTGAACAACCATCAACTTCGCGCCAGGCAGCGGCACATGCTTTAGTTCAGAATGAATCTAATGAGAATTTGTCCTCAATTAGTGCATCTGCGTCAAGTCAAAGCAATACTTCCAAAATTCAATTAAAATTAACACGTAGTTGTTGTAATATCTTGCAAGAACACCGGTCTTTAGAACGCAGTGGTGAGCACGTCAAGGATGACGAGAATGAAACCGATGGTGACGATGGCGACGATGATGACGATGACGATGATGATGACGATGATAACGATGATGACGACGACGAAACTGATGATGAAGCTGAAGACTCGCTTGAAAAACAAAATATGCAAAAATTGCAAACATTAGACAACACAAAAACCAACATTGAATCAGTGGGTGATGGAATCGACAACAATAGTGCACGTAAAAATGTTAGTAAACTTACCTCTATTTTACGCACAACGCGCGCTCCTCCACCAAGGGCGCCAAATTTACCTATTAATCAACAACAGATGCACCAAAATATTCAGGCGGCTCTTGAAGCTTCACGTAATACCAAACCTAGTATTTATATATTGCATTCTATGGACAGCAATACGAAATTAAAACCTTTTAAGGGGGCAAACATCGATGATAAAACTACAAACAAAAGCCAAATGCGAGAGGTGACGCCCGTTAAATCCATTAGAAAAATAGAAGTTCTAAAGCAAATGAAAAGCCCCTTCGCTGATAATGAACGACCCACCAAGAAAATTCGAGGACTCAAAAACAAAAAGTATAAGGTAGCTTCATCATACAAACGCACCAACAAACGAAACTTGCGGAAACGCAAGGTAGTCCTAATCAAGACGTTGAAAGCTACAGAAAATGAACGTAAGAAAAAAAACAGTAAAGAAAAGGTAATCGAAGATCAAAAACCTACAAAAAGCGTAAAAACCTGCGTTAAGATCAATGATTTGAAAAGCCACCTGTGTAGTAAGGCCAAATCCCCCTCCGAGCAATATCAGTCCTTTCGCAAGTCTTTCACTGCTTTTAACTCAGCCCAAAAATCTGGAAATTTTCATCGTCATGCAAATGCAGCAAATGATGTAATTGAAAAATATTTAAGAGGGGGACATAAAACTAATATTTTAAGCCATCCAAATTTGAAATCGAAATCATCAGCACAGACCTTTGTACCAGGGAAAATCGGTTCCAAAAATATATCGATGAAACTGAGCAATAAACTAAAGTATGCAAAAATGTGTTTACGAAAAGCGCAGGCGCAAATTTTGCGAACAAATTCAAAAGGAAAACAAACGAAATCCGCTCAGAATTTCTCAAAATGCCGTAATCCACCAACTAAACCTGTGTCGCGAAAGCTACAAGATCCGAAGTCTCCCATATCAAATATTAACCAAATATCTGCAAATAAGCAGGAATCACCAAAACAAATAAAATCAATATCCCAAAATGCATCGCAATCTAATTCGAAAGATAAACAACCTGAAAATGATAATGTTGTTGTATCTTCGACGACCAATTTATACGATGAACGCCCAATTATGTCTCGGCCAATTGATGTGCGTGCTAAGTCTTCTTATGTCATTATGGGAAAGTCCCCTACACATACCGAGGAGAAGGGCACACAAAAGTGTGGCACTATACGTCTATTGAATACAAATGCAAATCGACGTTTAAATGTAATGCTTAATCCCCTGAGAATGGATTTAGGCAATGTCTTGCATATGTACTATGAATTGGATACATTAATTGTCATACAAGAATATATGATAAGCTTTTGGAAATATTCAAAAATTTTGAATGTTCTGTGTAAGTACATGCCATCGGAACTTAATGGAAAAGTATCACCCAATTACTCGGCTACCTATAATAGCCAAAATAATAATTTAATTCCCTCAAATCCCGCTATTGACACACGCGAGCCAACTTCATCGTTAAATCCGGAGGAACGATATAAAAACGAATGGATGTTACTGGGCGAATCGCCTTACTCAACTAATGGTAAGTTTTGCAAATCTGAATGTGACGTAACGGCATAATTAATTTGTTTTAGATGCTGAAATTTCCACTCCCTACGCTAACCGCATATGCATCCATAACTCAACACCTGTCTATATCGAGATGAGGGGACGTTACTTACCACATAACCAGCGCATATGTAATCTGATAACGGTGTACATTAACATTTACTATTACCACGAAGAAGATATGATAGTTAAGAGTTCATCCATAAATCTAGACACTGTGCAAAGGTAGATAAAGATGCAATAGAATAATTTTCATAAAATTTATCTTTTATGAATTTTTTTAGCGAGATAAATCAAATTTGTTATACCACCATAACGGATTCGCGTTACTTCGTACTGACTTGGCCGCAAGAGAATATCTTGGGTAAAACACGTACGGGCTTATGTAAATATTCAATAACCCCGCAACTGGATACATTAGCCAGTATACGCGAATTCAAAAGCATGCGTCACATTATAAGCTATTTGGAGTGCATGAACGGTAAGTAAATTACAACTTTTTTCTCTTAATTAGAAGTTGAATTGAAAAGAAGTATAGACCGAATATTAAGAAATTTGTAATTCATACGGGGTTCTCTTATATTATTTCTCAATTTCCTTTGTCGCAGATGATAAGTTAATCGGTTTCGGCGGTACCCATATAACCATTTGGAATCATCGCAGTGGCGACGTTTTAATGAATTACGATGTTGCTATGCCGATGGGCATGAATATCGGCTCGATTTATTATCCAAGTCACGATATTGAAGAGAATGATATGCTTTTACTTTTCCAATATCGTTATCCTGAAATATTAGTATTAGCCTTGAAAATATCTCATGTAACACCCTCGTATCGTTTGCTGCATACGTTCCCGCTTTCAAGTACGGATTTTACCACTGTTACCAGTGCCATAAATACAGGCGATCATATAGTCTTAATCGATGAAAATGATCGAGAAATATGGATTAATTGTTCAAATCCATGCCAATTAGCGTATATGCCCGCTGCAAAAGGTAAGCGTTTCTATGTACGTCACCGCGCGCAATTTATTGAATTAACCAACCATACGCTTAATGTGGATACATTGGCAAATTTGTTTTTAAAGTTAGCAGCTGGTTTAACTTAAAAGTTAATCCTTTTATATAATTCATATGTGCGTAAGTGTCCGAATTTGTTTGGCTATTCGACATTCTTGGACATATTATATTGTGATTCGTTGAAAATATTGCGTGCAAAACTTGTAAATTATTTGGTTATAAAATCTCATGTGTAAATTATAATGTATGCATCTAGTAATAGTTTAATAATTGTGTGCAAACAAAGGAAATCAATTTTCAAAAAAAAAAAAAAAAAAATCTCATATTTTATGTCATATGTAGAACCTTCGTAGAGACAAAAATTAAAGTTATTTATAAAATAACAATTAGAAACAGGTATTGAATAGTTTACATGTTCGATTGGCAAGAAAGAAATTTCGATGTTCTCCTTCTCTTCCAATTACATTGTCTATCAATTTTATTTGATAGAGATAGAGAGAAAGTGTACGCACCGAACATCGCTGCAATTTCGTTCTTGTCAACCTACTAGAATATACTTTTAATTAAAAAAAAATATCCTGTGTAAGGAACTTCCCATTACTTTTTATTGAAATTTTAGTGTTTAATACTGCGAACTGTATTGCTTGTAATTTAAAAATATTTTAATTTATTAATGAGGATATTTTTTTCTTTATTAAAAATACCTATGGAACCCCTACGAAGTCATTAATAAAGTTATACTAATATATCAATGAAGTGAGTTTTTTTTTTTTTTTGTTAACTAATGCTTGTTGAAATCATGCAAATATGATAACAACTGATTTTCTAAATCAAATTTGGAACAAATATCAAGCCAAGTTTCATCTAATGCTATTAAAATATTTCCGTTATATTTTTTTATAAACGTCCATCCCTGTCCCATCATTTAGAATAAATTGATAAATAAAACTCCAGTCGCGGATCATCGTCATTAATGGGATTTAATCAAACCTTTTGCTCATTGTTCATAGTCATCATAAGGGTTTTTACTTTTATGGACTATTAAGAAAATTTATTTTTACCTTTTTTTGGTGCTATCCAGATAACGGTACAATTATAGGACTATAACACAAAAGTAGAGAAAATAAGAATAAAAGGAAACGTGATGACCTAATCCTTCCTCGTTTCTCCCTGCCTTCAAATCTCAATTATTACGTATGTACGTACTGTAAGCCTATACTTTTATGGATAAGAACAAAACATCCTGCAAAGATCGCGGAACCGCATTTCCACACAATATTTGAATTTAAATCAATAGATTTGTAAAAAAGTATGCCTTGGCTGGGACTATTTTAAGAATAAAATAAATATCAATACAGAATATCGGCCATATTTAACTCATTTATGTAAAACCATGTCAAGCTAGGCAGATTATCAAATACGCGAGACTACTTCAACTAATACAATTCTTCATTTATATTAGCCATAAAATATCAGAAATTATAATTTATTGCAGGAGATTCATGAGAAACCCGGAATGAAAAGAAGAAATTTGACGAAAAGTCGGAGAAAAGAACTCATCTAGTGAAAACTTGGCCGACTCAATTTATAGTTTTTATTATAAAATATTAAAAATCGAAATATCTTGCCAGATAAAGGCTTAATTCTTTTTGTGCCGGTTATGCCAAAAAACTATTTTTCAAAGATGTTTTTCGAGAAATATTAAGATTGAAAACTTTTTTTCATAGACTTATCGTTTGAAAAACTACGTCTGAAAATAGAAGAGTAGTCGCAAAAATGTTCCACTTCGAATCATTTTCAACAGCGTTCATCCTTGAGGTGGGAGAGTACAACATTTTATCAAAATATGTGACGGACATCGGACAAAGTATGTGCCGGAATACAATTCTGAATCGATTGATGGCAGATATGATGAATTTATCTCAAGTGATTTTTTGTGTGTTGTATCTATCTGCACAACTTGATACACACTTATCATAAGTGCAGTGCATAACGAACTACATGCTATGATATATAAAATTAATTTTGCGATAAACAAAAAATGCTATCGAAGCAAATACTGACGTGCAATATCTTGACCTACATTAACATAATTTCTAGGCAAGAAAAGAAAAAATAAAGTAAGGAAAACATTGTGTATTCCGTTTCCATAACAAAGATCGAAACAAAAAATTAAAACTATACACTTTATATTAGGTGCTTGCAAAAATTTTGATCAAAATTGGTACTATATATATTAATCCAAATCCATCATTCCTTCATTGTCCACAACATATATTACAACATTTTTGGAAATATGACGATATCATGTCAAAAGAACTTCTATTGGGTTTCCTGCGACCCATCCACCAACCTGTTTTCGCACTTCTTTGCGGATCCGCTTGCCAGCCAAGCTAAGCTGCATCGATCGAGGCAAGTGGTAATCAGGTGGCAACGTGTCCGTTGCGTATACTGGCAGTGTGACAGTATTTTCCATTCGAGCTGCAACAGTGTATCCTGGACAACTCTTGCAACAAGTGCCCAAAAAATTGAATATGCAGGCAATTTGTGCCGCTACTTTTAAACCGTTAAATATGTACCTATCATTGGATGCCTGAAGCTTTGCTCTGAACGTTTAATAACTGTTTGGTTTTGACAAGAAAGTGAAATTTTCATATATTTACGATTAGGAGTATTGGATCGCCTATAGAATGTACGCGTAGCTTTCTATTGTTTTTTCTGTTATAGCCTTTGAGTTATGAGCGAAAAAGTCTGCATCTTTTTGCTTTGCTCGGTTTATATGATTCTGCAGATATATCCTTCGACCGATTTAACTTATCTTTTCTAATCTCTAATGCTATACTGTAACTGATATTGTAGCCTTATTGGTACAGTAGAGTTACTGAAGACTTGCTGTTATTAATCCTAATTTAATTTAATTTTAGTCTAATTTTAAGTTAATATCATATTAATATAAATTTAAGGAAATAAAGAAAAGATTACCCCCAAGGCGAATATTCTCTTCACTTATTTTATGCTTAGCAAATCTAGCGGAAATTTACTCAAGTTAATAATTCTTGTCAAAGAACTTTCTATATACTTCTCCTATTTTCGATGGCAAATATTGAAAATTAGATTTTATTGATTGAAATTTTTGTAACCGATTTTTGACAAGACATAATAAAAATTGAGATCATTTTGCAAATTATTTTCAATAGCATTCATTCTTTGGTTCAAAAGGTGCCGGTGTATCGGTTTCGCGATAATATATCGAAAATTGGGAACTGTGTATATTTAACATAAAAATAATGGGTTTGACAGACGGACATCTGAAGTGTATACTATAAAAGATGGGTCTATCTCCAAATCCTTGTGGATGTTGCATACATTCTCACAAACTTTATAAGCCCTTACCACGATGGCAATGATGATGATGATGATGATGATAGAACAAATACAAGGGCAAAGAAAAAAAAAAAACAAGATGTGATTTTCAAAAACAAATGAGATGAAATTAATAAACTATGTTAATTACGAGCTTAACTTCCTTTATATACACTCACTAAACGGTTAGACCAAGTATTTGTATTTATTGGTTATTCAATGTCTTATGTTTGCAATTGGAATGTTCATTGGAATGATGCTGAGATTTACGTTAAATAAGAATATAAGAATGGACTTAAAGAAATCTATGATTGATTTTTTTCTACGTTAAAACCGCAAAGACTAATTCAATCTAACTTAATTCTTAACGGGCAAGGTCTAAATGTGCCAACGTAACTTGTCTAATCTAATGAAATAACGATTTCGACTAAATTGATGATAGGAGTATTACATTATCATATGATAATCGTAATAGTACATCGAGGAATAATTGTCGGGACTAGGTTGTAGAAGCTTTTTCTTTTCACAAATTTCAGCTCATTCTTCAACGTTGATGCAGTTAGTTCAACGCTTTTCATTGTTCGTTTAATAGAAAGTTATTGTTAACGTCCTTCAAATGCGCTTCAATTTCTTCAATGGCTTTATCATTTGATTTAAATATTTCTCCTGTGGAGTGCATGAAATTTCGCTTTCATAAGCGTGGACTGGTATTACGATAGTATCGTTCCGCCATTCGGAAAGCCGATGTCTTATGACCAAATTTTCACCCCAAACATGGAAGACCTTCCGATATCTTTTGAATTAATTTTCAATTATCGGGAACAAATTTTGAAAATTTTTTCATAGTTTTTGACGTTTGTGACCATGCCTTTAAGCATCCAAAGCGTTTAGTTTTATCGTTCTCCATACCAGCGAGAGGAAGAAAATTTTCCACAAGAGTTTTCGAGACAATGCTGAGTTGGAGTTTCATTCTTCTTCAACGAAACGAGTAACACGTAAGCATATTACAGAAATGACATGACATTTTTCAGACATTCGTTTCAGAATTGACACTCTCTAATATTAGGATGCGTTTTTATTAGAAATAGGGTCTATGTGTCTGTATGCTTCAAGCCAATGATTTCGATTGATTCATAAGAGTAATAACAACAAGTTGTACTTAGTTTTATTCGAATGACAACATTTCATGACTGATGCTCTAAAATTTATAAAAATTATTGATAACGACACAACTTAATTTTTTTCGTTTCAATATCTTTTGAATTTTATTTTTTTAATTCTTTAAATTTATTCCAATATATAAATTTTTCTAGTACATGTTGTGCTTATTAAAAAAATTGTTTTTATATTTTAATTTACATATGCATAACTAACCCGTTATACGATTTTAGTTATTCCATTTCAAAATGAATATACATAATATATTACAAGGGTGTTTATTTTAAAATAATAAAAAGTACATATTAAGTATATATATATATATACATATACATATGTGTAGGTTCGGTAAATTTTTGTTTGATATCCATCGCTTATTATAATTATTTGGAAAGTACTGGTGTTTTTGGATATCTAATCTTCTCTAGCTATTGGCACGTAGATAGCAAATGTTTCAAGTTTTAGGAAAAATGTACGACAAGGAACAAACGGATCCATTAAAGAACACTTTTGATTCCTTAGAAATATTTTGCATTATTATTGAGTTTAGTTTATTCATTTAATTATTCAATTCATTACAATAATAAATCCAAGCGAGGCTGACTGATACCAAAGGTGTCTTTTAAACGATTTGTTTATGTTTCAAAGAAAAGGAATATATTTCAAGACAAGTTAATAAGTCGCTACGGGGTTCGAATGAAACTTTCCAAAATTTAAAATCAATTCAATATAAATTCCTGTGATAGATAATAGATACGAAAGCTAAAATCACCAGAAATAAATAATAAAAAAAAAAAACAAAATAAAAAGCAATATTTTTGTGTTTAAGTAATTACGTGTGGAAATGTGTATGCGTTGAAGTATGTGTATAGTATTGTGTTATTAAAACAATTTTTAAACCATTTCTTGTGATTCAACAAATGCGAAGTTTTTAATAAAATTATTTAAAAAAGGGGAAATTTACGCAACAGCATCAATTATGAACATTTTTCATTCTCCATTACAATTCTCCATTATAATTAAAAAATGTAAAGAATTCGCCGTTTTACGAAATAAACTAAAAAAATTGAAATAGCCGAACCTTTCAAATTCATAACGAAAGTTCATTTTCCATTTGCGAAATAAAAATATGTAATTACTACTACAATTCTTTGTCCGGCTTTGTTTTCTTCGTAGTATGCATTGTTGTTGAAGTTGAAGTTGTCGTTTCTTCAGTGCTTTCTGTCGCTTTTAAAGTTATTGTATCGTTTTTGGCTTTGCTTTCTTTGGTCATTTGCCAGCGTTTAAATTCAATCATCTGCATAATGCGTACCTGCATTTCTGGTTTGTTATGCATTGCAGCAGAGAGCTTATTAAACTCTTGAGAGAACATGAAAACAACTGGAATATGAACATCATTAACGCCATCACCAGACATGGCAAACATGGGTTGGAATTCACCCGAAGAACCAGGTGTATTATCACAGACTATTAGGGCTAAGGCTCCAGCTGATTGGACTACACGAGCCTTACTCACAAAAGTGCAATCGCCACGCTCAGCTATAACAATTTTTGCACGTGCCTTTTCAGCATTCTTCAAAACGGGTCCACAAGCTCTTATAGGATCCGCAATTATAACCTCGCCTTCTACAAAATTATCTTCTATAAGTTCAGGACCAAAGTGAGAAGGACCTGCCATCAATGCAATCCAATCGTTGCTTTTGATGCCATCTTTTTTATAAGCCACAGCCTAAGGGAAAAATATTTAAATTCGTTTTCTAGATCGGAACTGAAATTCAAAAAATCACTTGTAATTGCGCCAACTGATTGAGACTTTGCATTTTTGTTAATTCTATCATTTCCTCCATAAACATTAAGCCCATTTCTCCATCTTCAGGACTTTTGGCCTAAGATGAAAAAAAAAAATGCTATTAAACAATAATAAGTAAAATAAAACAAATAAAAATATCGTAGAAGAGCGATTTTTGCCATAACAACTCAAATTGAACTGAAACTGAACTCACATTATAAAAACTATGAAACAGTCGCACCTTGCCATCACCTAAAGAAACCATTGTGATGCCCATGTCGTAAACAGTTCGTAAATGATCAGCATTGCTTGCTTGAAAGTCCACAGCAAGTAACTTTTTTGTGGCCGGTGAACGCGGGCAGGAGCCGGTAACAAGGTTACGCAAAGGTTGGCGGACTTTCTCAGGAAAAAGTTTATTCGAACTTGGACAGGTGCGCATAAAATCCATAATATTATGCTCTTCGGCTTGACGGAAATCTATCAACAATTCATTATTTTGCATTAAACGTACATATATGGATAATTTCTTAATACTCACTGTAGCTTGTATTGCCCAATTGAGCCAACGATAGAGGTAATAGATGAGCTTCAGTTGTAAATATAAATTCGTCCAAATTGATTAAAAGATCGCGTGGCTCAGTGAAAAGTAAATATAGATATTTAAACGTTTCCGATAAAACAAACGAATCCATGCGATCTTCATGCTTGCCAGTTCGAACATCGTTAACGGCTGCATATCCGCAAGGAACTTTGGCATATTTTTGCAAAGCCTTGAGAACTTTCTTGCCTACTTGCAAATAATGATGATCACCGGTAGCCCGGTATAAGAAGTAGGTAGACTCGATGAATTCTGGTCTAAGATGATGTTGACCCCAATGAATTTGAAAATCCATAGTGAAAGCCTCTGGTATAAAATTGTGCATTTGCATCACCTGGTATAGCATTTCGTGTGTTTGTACGGCCGGTTTCAAATGACCTGACAGTACCTGCAATCCAGGCCAAAAAGCTAGTAAAGCATCCATAAAGTTACGCGATTTGGCATGAGGACGATGCATCAACACATCCAAAAACAACGGCCCATCGCTGACATATTTCATCACTGCATTGTAATGACGATTAAAACGAGCTAAGTACTTGTCGTCACCCAACAAAATATAGGATTTAAAAAGATATTCATAATAGGAATCAATTCCAGCACCAACGCCCGAATCTCGACGCACCCAGTCACCCGAATGAACATTTAAAACAGTACCCATAAGATCGGACCCTCGATGTCGCAATTTCCATAAAGCATCCATAGCTGCGTGAGCCCGGGCTTCAAATATAGGATCGCCTGTTAATCTTGACAAGGCTGCAAATTCCAATAGCATTGTTCCAGCGCAAGCTGTGCATGTTTCTGTGGATCTTTTTAGTTGATCGTCTTTCATACCATAACGTAAATTAATGCGAGCATGGGGAATACCAGTGGTTGTATTAAAAGCTGGAAGCAAGCGGTATCCTAAATCACGTGCCATTTCCAATAGTTCTCCCCGATACCATGGCATTATATCAACGTTTTTTTTGTAGATACTCAGACAGCAGATGTGCGGACAGCAATCCACCAATCATACGTATATTAGTTTCAAATACTGACACAATTATATCATTATCAAATTGTACGTCGCGTATTACGTATTTAACCGAAATCTCAAATTCTGATAAATCTCCCAGCAGAACCAAAGTGTCCAAAGTATCAACCAATGTCATAGAAAAACTAAAAGTATATACATCGATAATTCTTTTTCTTCATCGATTTATTGTTGATAACTTACTTGCCCAAAACATCATCCATATCGCCGCGTGAAGGCGTGATCCCTCGGTAACGTCCCTGAAATATATTTCATTAGTAGTCGATTAAATCAAATTTACCCGTTGTAAATTTCGATAATTCTCTACAGATCCTCGTTTATCTTACCTTGCAACTCAAAGGCATCAGTTCATCAGCTGGATAACCATTATCCATATACGCGTAATAAGCATGGTAAAACATATCCCGAGCTTCTTCCCTGATAATGGACAAAACGTGGTATAAGTGAAGAATCAAGAGGGAAACAAGATGTCTTACCTCAATTCTTCTCGTTCTTTACGGGATAAAATCTCTGTGGGTATTATTTCACAAACGGCAAACGAAATTATATGTAGTATCAACAATAAACAAAATAAATAATGTGTATGTAAGAAAAGGTAAATTGACGTGTACGCTTTTCTTATTGTTTTCGCTGTCGTCGGTGTGGGTGTGGTACTTATTGCGCGGGAGTTTAGAGCTCCATGCAATTGCGTTGACATCTCCAAATTGCCGACAATTTGCGAGGAACACATTTTCTTCAAAAATAAAAGAAAAATCCGTTTTGCAGTTTATGTCATTAGCGTATAATTTAGCTTGCATTGACCTTCACTTTGACGTGTCTTATAAACATGCATATGTGTTACTTTTGTTGTTTCACTATAACTTCAGTGTAACTCTTGTTATCTTCACTTTTTTTTATTATTTTTCACGCTTTCTGATAAGCTTTGCTTTACTGTATATAAAACTGTTGATAAAATCTTTCCGATCATTCTATTAAGTCATAAAAACTTCAATACAAATTTGAAATGACTTAAAAGATATTGCATTTGTTTTACATTAACACTGATGTGTTTTGCTGAGGTAGAAAATTATTGGCAATGATTTCAAACAATTTTCAAGGATTTTATAATAAAGCAAATGAAGAGAAATATTAGATCATTTTGCTGCTAATCAGTTATTAAGCATTCTTCTTTTTTCTCTCTACATAATTGTGATTAGCTTACTTTTGTTTTAATAATTCGTAAGCTTATTATTTGTATCGTTAAGTTGAGAAAAATGGATTTCGGTAAATTTATTGTTTAAATTTTAATTAAAAGATGTGAGTTGATTATTCGATATATTTAACACATCACAATTTTGCTAATTTTATAAATTTATCGTTTCCGCACGTTAAGAATTTCTTTTCTAATGACAACTCAACTAATTCTTTTTTTTTTTTTTCTAAAACGTCATACGTTTGTTTGACATGAGTGGCCCCAGTGCAAGCAATTGTAAAACAATTAGTTGTAGGAATTTAATAAACATCAGGGACTACGTATTTGCAGCAGCGCTTTAACTGTTTCATTTTATTTACATAGATTTGTAATTATTGCTGACAACACTGTTGTCAGTTTTGAATAAAATTCAAGTTAAATGCAATTTATGTTCTTTTAGCCAATTCGCCTAACAAAATGGTAAATATAAGCAATTTAAATTAAGTGCAAAAACATAACTTATTAACATTTGTTTTTGTGAAGCGTCGCAGTTTGGCTCCCAGTCAACAGAACTCAGGAAACCTGAAATCAAGTTTTAATTTCGTCACTCCGTTTCAAAACAAACGCAAACGCACTTGTAAACAGGAGCCATTATTATCAAAAAACCAATCGCAACTTTCGTCATTACCTCTAAGTGATTATGAAAAAGCTGTAGCCAGCATTCTAGCCAGACCATTTAGAGTGCCCATAGCTAACTATGTTCCTGAATACAACAGCGGTAATCGCAGTTTGGGCTTACGACGCGCAACAATACGTAAATCGTTACATGATCCACTAGCTTGTAATGCATTGGTGCTAAGCACACCGCCTAATTACACAGAACATGAACGCTTAACCATAGATCCTCAAAAAATTTTAGTGCATGTAGTAGTGGATCCCATATTAAGTAACATATTACGCCCTCATCAACGAGAGGGAGTCCGTTTTATGTATGAATGCGTCGAGGGTAAGAAAGGTTCATTTAATGGATGTATTATGGCCGATGAAATGGGATTGGGAAAAACGTTGCAGTGTGTTACTTTAGTTTGGACCCTGTTAAGACAAAGCCCGGATTGTAGACCTACGATTACAAAAGCTATAATTGTTTGCCCGTCGTCTTTAGTAAAGAACTGGGAAAAGGAATTCCAAAAATGGCTACAAGGACGTATGCACTGTTTAGCCATGGAAGGTGGCGCCAAAGATGATACGATACGTTCTTTAGAACAATTTGCTTACAACACAAATAATCGCGGAACTCCAGTTCTCATAATAAGTTATGAAACCTTTCGTATATATGCCGAAATTCTTTGTCGTAACGAAATTGGTTTAGTAATTTGCGATGAAGGTCACCGCTTAAAAAACAGCGACAATCTTACATATCAAGCTTTAATGGGATTGAAAACTAAACGGCGCGTTCTCCTTTCTGGAACGCCTATACAAAATGATCTTACCGAATACTTCAGCTTAATAAACTTTGTAAATCCATGTATGTTGGGTACGGCTGTAGAATTTAAACGTAATTATGAAAATGTAATATTGAGAGGGCAAAATTCCGATTCCACCGACAAAGAACGCGAACGTGCGGTTGAAAAGACACAGCAATTAATTGCTATAGTTAATCAATGCATTATAAGACGTACCAATCAGATTCTAACCAAATACCTACCGATGAAATTTGAAATGGTGATATGTGTAAAATTGACGGCCGTCCAGGTGGCATTGTACACGAATTTTCTGAAATCCGAAAAAATAAAAACAAGTTTACAAGGTGAGCTTACACATACACAGAGATGAATATGGCAGTTGAGAAAACATATTGTAAGCCGATCTTTTCTTTTTTGGTTTTTAAGAGAATCAATGCAATTCCTCCACCTTGACCGCCTTGGCCGATATAACAACTTTGAAGAAGTTATGCAATCATCCAAATTTGATTTTTGATAAAATTGAAGCAAAAGAAAATGGATTTGAAAATTCAGCGAATGTTATGCCCAGTAATTACAATACCAAGTACGTCTCTAATCAATTGCTCTTAATTTACATCTACAATTATGCTTTGGACTTTTTTATGATCTTTTTTTAGAGTGTTTAATCCAGAATTAAGCGGTAAATTTATGCTATTGGATTTCATGTTGGCAGCTATAAAAGCTAATAGTGATGATAAGGTGGTGTTAATATCGAACTATACTCAAACATTGGATCTGTTTGAGCAGCTAGCAAGGAAGCGGTATTTAACTTTCAATTAGAAAAGAATTTGCAAATTTTCAGTTGTGCAGGTTTATTTTAGAAAATATCCTTACGTACGTTTGGATGGTTCAATGTCTATTAAGAAACGGAGTAAAGTTGTGGAACAATTTAATGATCCTAATGTGGAAGGTTTTCTGTTTATGTTAAGCTCGAAAGCAGGCGGTTGCGGTTTGAATTTAATCGGTGCTAATCGTTTATTTATGTTCGATCCGGACTGGAATCCCGCTAACGACGAACAAGCTATGGCTCGCGTCTGGCGAGACGGACAGAAAAAACCTTGTTTTATCTATCGTCTTGTGGCGGTAAGTAAAAGAATTCATTATTTGTACCATATTAGTGAAAGCTTACTGAACACCTTGCTAGACCGGTTCCATTGAGGAGAAAATCCTGCAGAGACAGACACACAAAAAGTCTTTATCTAGTGCTATAATCGACAATAACGAGAGCGAAGAGAAACATTTCACCCGCGATGATCTTAAAGATCTTTTCCGTTATGAAACTGAAATTTTATCCGATACACACAACAAGTAAGTGAACAAATCATATATTTGCAGCACTTAGATATTATTAATGAAATGTCCAATAGATTGAAATGTAAACGGTGCTTTAATAATATACAAACGCAAGTTCCTCCCACGGATAGTGATTGTACTTCTCATTTGTCGCAATGGTATCATTGTTCCAATTGCAAGGGTTTGCCAGATAGTATTTTATCGCAAGCTTGGCAAACTAGTAAATGTGTATCGTTTGTGTTTCATCATCGGTCCCAAGGAGAATGTGAGAAAACTGATGATAATAAGGAAAACATTGAAAGTGATACAAAATCCGAAGGCCGCAATAATATCATATATGATGACGATAACGACGAAGATTTTGCGGGTTACAATGATGATTGCGACGATCCCAATGACAAAGATTATAAATGAATAGCAAAGTAATCTTAGGCTTATTATTCCTTATTTATTACTTATTTTCACTATAATAATAAATATTTCATTGAAATTAAATAACAATTCGCTTTAAGACATTATTATTAATTAAAACATTACGCTCTTTACATATTTACATAGCATCCCTAGGAAAAAAAAGTTTGTTAATGCTTTTAAAAAGCCAAAGCCCTTGGCATACAATTTAACAATCAATTCGAAGTACGTTACAAGAGACTTTGCTTTTGTTCACTACAACCAAAGATACATTTGAGGCTTTTCTTTTAAATTTTGGAGAACTTATAATTTGTTTTAAAGTAGGGCAAATGCCCTAATCTTTATACATAGTTTGGCAGTTTAATTGGAATGGAAAAGAAAATTCTAGAAGAAATAGTCTCAATGTGTTTATTTAATTTCACTCATTCGAATGTGTGTATGTTTGCTATTTGATCTCAAAAAAAATAAAATTCGATGAAAAAAAAAACGTGAATAAAATTAACACAAAAGCTTTATAAAAGAAAACAAGATTACACAGGAGTAAAACTATAGCAGAGAGAGGTGTTTTCTCTTAAACATCCTGTATTTCACGCCAAACATTACTTTTTTTAGGTGGTTTTTCCAAAGGCGGAGCAATGTCCTGGCATTCATTTAAAAATGTTCGAAGACCATCATAATAACTAAAAAATAAAGTTACATATATATAAATATTTATCAGATTGCATGACGTTTACATAAATATATAAATATTAGTCTCTTTCTTTACACAGTTTGCCGAAATAAACTCTTTAGAATTAACTAAAAAACAAGTAAGACGAGGGCCGATGTTCGCATAATCACCATGTGTGTCAATAACAAACACCACAAAGTCACGCGGACGGACAGACGTAGCTAAATCCTTCAGAATTTCATGCTGATCAAGAATCACTTTAACTACTTCATAGGATGTCTGAAGTTTCCTTTTGGATGTTATATACATTGTGGATACAAACAAAATGAGAATATCTCAGTTCTTCAGTAGTGGGTGTAAAAATAATACTGGTTGTGTCTTTTTATGATACGGAAATATCTACAGAGCTTTTAGAATGTGCACATTGGTTCCTAGCACCAGATATCTTATATTATTCTGATTCCATCAGAAAATCTCCCAAAATCGACCCCTTCTCTCTTTCTATTTAACGACGTCGGAATTCGCCCTCAAAAAATAAAAGATTGTACTTAGTTATGTTGTTTGAACAAGAAATTAGCCTCAAAAGAACTTATGACAACAAACAACAATTTATTGTAATTTACTTATGGTATGACACAAATGAGTGAAAGACGATTAAGAACAGAAAGGCAGTCGTAATATATTATTTCAAAACCTTGACAAAATGCGACAAACAAACTAATGTAAATGGTTAATAAGGTTAGCAAAGCGGTTAGACGATATAAGATTCAAATTATATTTTGTCCTAGAGTTCCGTACCCTTGGTAAAAATGTTTTAGTCTCTTATATTCGTCGAAGTAGCGTTTTTAAGCTTACGAAAAAATGGAAAATTCTTTAATGAGTGGTCTTTATTACTTCGAGGACGGGGGCTTTTTCTACTGAGCTTTTTTCTTCTTTCCTAATTAAAAAACTGGCATTGCTAATATAGGTACATTTATATACATAGATGTACATTTAAAATAGAAGAAAATTCATACCCGTCCACGATCCAAGTGTCATTGTGTGACCCTCCGGGAAAAACTAAAATGCCTTTTCGTTGACTGCCGCATTCAGTGTATAGTGTACGCATCATATTCGGCGGTACTAGATTATCTGCTAATCCAGATATAAAAAGAAACGGTACCGAACATTTACGTATTTTTGACAAGGAATTATACTGGAAACAAAGAGTCCATTTAGATATTGTATTTTAATAGCCAAAATCTCCAACCTTGTTCTTATATAATATTAAAGGTACAAATCGAACTAGTGGATGTATTAACTCTACTGCCATATCAGATATGCTAGTAAATGTATTCTCTACAATGGCACACATAATTTTTTGACCATACACTGTGTCAGCGGCCACGTCGACAGCAACGGCCCCACCCAATGATCGCCCAAAAATTAATATTTGTGTATGGTCTAGATCGTGACGCGTGTACAGATAGTCAATGGCAGCTTTGGCATCTAGTATTAAACCGCGTTCACTCGGCGATCCCGTCGATAATCCATAGCCCCGATACTCCAACATTAATATATTGCAATTTAAATGATGGAAAATACCCCATACATTCTGCATACGATGACCCATATTGCCAGCATTACCGTGCAAATAGACGAAAGTCGGCACACTTTTTGAACGCTCGTTCTGATTACTAATCCAGAAAGCGTGTAATGTTACTTTATCGGGTGTATGTATATTAACAGTCTCGTAAGGTAAATTATGCATACTGGGTATAGGAACATAAATACGCGAATTAGCTGGCAAATCGGGATGATATAACAAGACATCTTGAGCATAATAAAATATAGCTTGATAAGAAAATGAAAAAAATTATTCATTAATTTAAAGGAATAAAACATCTTGCATTGCCTACTTGTTAATACTGTTGTTACTAAGGCTATTGTTAGATATCCACCGTAGAAATAAAAAATAACCAAACACAAAAGTAAGGCTGCCAATGACAATATCCATACGCCGCGAGATTGCGAAAATTTAACCATAGCTATTTCCTTTTTCATGTTCGTTAATTGCTTATGCTTTGGAACGCGATAATATATTTTTTGCTAGCACATGATTAATTAATTAACTATGTTTTATATTCTATGCCATTTATTATCGTTGCATTTTAAGATGAGCTTTATTTACAAATAAAAATCGTTCCGTTAACACGCTCCCTTCTTATTTTTTCTAAGAAATTAAAAAAATAGAATATTTATTTACAGAATCAGCTGTTCTAAACGGTAAGAATTACCATCTTCAGAACTCAATCTTTAGTAGTCAGCAAAAATATTTTAAGTGATTTCAGTCGAAAACACAAAGAGCACGCGGGCGTTAACCGGGCATTGACATTTATTTTGAATATTTTAAAAACCACGACAATTGGCTTAAGTTTTTACTTCGCAAGATTGACTACTTGTAACGTCTTTTATATGTAAACAAACAAATAAAAATACGTTACGAAGAACTAAAAGAAATAAAGATGATTTATTTCAACGTTGTAATCAAATTCCAGAAATTGTATTTAAATTTTCTTCTTTGCTTAAAACATATCAATAACGCCTGTTGTATTATACGATTTGATTTTTTCGTTTATAAAATATATCGCTTTTGTGTTTCCTTATTACTGACTTTGAAACCATAGTGTTTGTTTATATTTTTACTTCCCAAATAATGTGATAAGCCAGGACATTCATGCATATATTTGTGTACACGGAATGAAAAAAGCAAATATTTTATGCCGGAAGGATCCACATTGAAAACGCACACAAAGCTTTTGTTCGGCAAGTACATATTCCGGTTGAGTCCACTTTCCAATCCATTTATTGGTAACATTCATTGAAATATTTGAAAGAATATATTTGCAAAGTTTACTGCCAGTTCTGAAAAAAAAAATGCTCTTCAGTAGCAACCGGATTCAGAAATAAGCATAGTAAACTGCGAGCAATCACGATTTACTCCAGCGGAGTGTTTCTGGATGCGGAAAAGTCGCAAGGATCGCAAATGAGTTTAACAGTTCTCCTAAAAATTTCCCGCAACAGTGGTTTTAAAGGTCTTTGGGTTTTTGTTGGATTTTTCCTGCAACATTTCGCTGTCTCCGCAAACCAAACAGCAAATTATGGCTTCAGGAAAAACCCAAATACTGGAGAGCGTACAGAATTGCGACTGACAACTCAATGGTTGCGTGTTCAAATGTCAAGTGCACTAGAGAGCAGGCGAGCGATATAACCAAGTGATGCGGCAAAATTTAAGTCCATACCATGTACATTTATTTACAAAATAAAAAATGTATTACTTTACTAAATCTACTAGACTCTATATTTAATTTTCTTTTCTGAAACAGAGCCGACAGCCTATAAAGCCAGTAGTCAATTTTTTTTATTTTTACTCTAAAAATTTACTTCATTAGTCCAAAAAAAATTATCGTAATAATAAAACTTGGGAAATGCATTAATCCCAATACTAGATTACACTTCCGATTTTCTGATTCCTGATAAGATTGTATTTGCAACATTTGCAGATGACAGAACAATTTTACTACCACCTTTTATTCATATTCGTTTTATCACATATATCATTTGCGTAACAATGTTTTCATAAAATAATTTAATTTACACTAAAACAATATGTAAATCAAAATACTGTGTAAACCTTAAAATATCAAACCAACTTTCACACGATGGAAAAACCAACTTCAAAAAATGGCCATTTATATCTTGTTTATGCGTGCGTATTTCATCTTTTGTAAAATGCGTTGCGTCAATGTAGGCAAAAACCTCATGATCTACCAAAATGTTGAGCATCTTATACGCCTGAAACTTTTTATGCGCACATAGTCGTTAATTTCAATGTGTTCGAATTATAATAATTGCAAAGCTTAATATGCGAGAAAAAAGAATTTGTGTGGATTCGACGTAAACGCTTTCGATTCTTCAATCTGGTAGCTTTGTTTCGTAACTACACAAAATGGCTACAATGGTTCGATGCAAGCTGGTGAAAAAATAGTAAAATCGAAGAAGTTTGGTTTTTTAAATAATTAATATTGATTTTAACTAGTAAAACTGTGACTTGTGCTGGCTGGTGAATTGAAATATTAGAAAACAAAACATGTTTTCGTTTAGAAAAGACTTTTGAAATTTGAGAAATATGTCATGAGACCATTTATAAATATGCTTGTGTGAGTGCATACTTTTGCATGATGTTCGAAAAATGTAGTTTGCTGGCGAACCCTGTAAAGTATCGAACGCAACACTGGTAACTCTGTGTCGAAAAGTGCTTGTATGAGAAAACAAAATGGCGACTTTCGACAAATGACTTGTGAATGGGAGACAAGAACGACGTGAAATTTTTTTTGTGTTGAGTTGGAGAAAAAAAATTTTAATTTTTTCAAAAAGTGAATTTTTCTGAAAAATTATTAGAAATTTTTAGAATTTAGTGTGTATTTAATGTCTGCAATAAGAATAAAGCGAATGCAGCGTGAAAAATATCATGAACCAGGTGAGTGTTCTGTATATGTGATACTTTATTAAAAATTGTTATTTTTGGCGGTTTAAAATGTAAATATTTTGAAAATTCTCGATTTCTCCATCTATAAACGTTCTACAATAATTTGGAGTTAGTTCCACGTTTTCCGGACCATGGGTGTGGCAGAAATCAAACGGAAAAGCCAGGTGTCTCAATTGAGACTATATCTTAACTTTTTGGCTTGTAAACAATTAATGAAGATAGTTTTAAAAAATGCGAAATTTTCAATAAAATCTTAATTGTTTCACACTTTTCTCGGTGGATTTCGTTTCTAGATACGTCAACGATCCTGAAGATGTGGAAAATTTGGAAATCCATTAGGTACCCATTTTTGCAATTTTAACTTAAAATCCAATGTTTTCATTGCATTATCACGAATTCTGACCAAAATTGTGTAAAAATTTGTATCTTTTCTGTAAAAATGATAGTTTTTTCAAAAATTTTCATTGATTACGTAACCACAAATTGTATGGAAAATTTTTCAAATGGTCCATCATTTGGAATTTTCAAGATTTTTTGGTTTTTCAAAGGCTTTCCGAGGACTATGACGGCAAATTAGTGTAAATTGGGGACTTTCCTAACGATTAAAAAAAAAAATACTATAAAGTTATGTTCTATCATTTTTTTTTGGATAAATTGAACCCAAATTTGAAAAGAACGTGAAGAAATCTTCTCTAGAATCTAGAGTTTTAAAGGAATTCTGCGAATATTGAGTATTTTACATCATTTTTACAGTTTCCGAAGGATTTGTGTATGCTCTTCTCATTTCCAAGCACTGTTTTTTTAACATATTCAATTGTTTTCAATAAATTTGGCGATTTTCTAACAAATTGCAGCCGTTTCCGAAAGATTTCATTAGATCTTGAGAGGATTCTTTCACTTTTTCATTCTTCGATCGCCTAAATTTGAAGTGGTTCTTATAGGATCGGTTTAATGGCTTTGAAACCTAATCTTCTCGAAAGTCTTCCAAAAATTTTGGAGAATTTTGGTTCAAAATTTCGCATGTGTGGGCTATATTTGGATGCTAGGGAGGATTTTAAGTGGCAATCTTAAGCTATATTCGAAATATTCCCATATAAACACCGTTGTATTGTGCAGGCATAATGAAGTGCATTTATTATAACTTGAAAAGAAATTTATAACATATACGGAATGCGTTTAAGGATCATTTACTTCTAATACAATAACACAATGTTCACATGAGTTCTTATGGAAACGGCGTTGCTTAAGCATTTATATATTTCTAAAATGTAGTGCAATTTTAAAGGGAGAGATTGGATCATGAAAGCGAATATATTGGTCCTTTTTCCCTAAACTATTAAAGATCCTTGAAGGACTAGTCATCAATATGAATGCGCTTAAATAAAACAGCACTCTAATTAAGAAAACATGAAAAGAAACAAAAGGAGTTTAACATAGTAAGTTAACATTTCTAAAATAGTTCAAGGCTCCACAATTTGAATTTTTTATAAGACTTCTCGATATCGTGGTGATCAAATTTTCATTAAAACGTTATAAAATGGGGAGCATCAAGCCCACTTGTTAAAGCGGAAGATGTTTACTATTTTTTAAAAAGACTTTCGGACATCTAACATTTAAAATAAATAATGAAGTAAATGCTAAATCGATTAGAAATTAAATTTTGGATGGTTCTTGAAACTGTCTTTTTTGTCTTTTCAAGCCAATGTCTTCCAAAGGCACCTTCATCCAATTTCTATACACAAAGTTGGGAACAACAAAAATTTAAGTGAAATGTGTGATCTTAAATCGATCAATGATCAACTTCTACACTTGTACCTGTTTGATAGTAGTAGTGGTAGAGCGTATAATTTTATAAGGCGGAAGTGCAGAGAGTTTAAAAATATGCCCACGCGGTGATCTTGACCATTACAATTTTGAAGTGGGTAACATTCGTACATCTCTGTTCAACATACCAAAAAAAAAAAAAATATTCGTACTAAATAAAAATCGATATGTTATATAGTTGACAAATTAATGATGATTTTAACTAAAGGGGGACTTTCGATCTTGATATTTGAAATTTAACATAGGAACTATATACTTTGAACGATAAACGCATGTGCAGCGCCTCTAGCGGAAAAATATGAACCAAAGAACGGTTTTCCTCAGCTGGTATATATACCTTGATTTGAGATTTTTTGCAGGCGTTTGCAAGTGAACGCTAGTACCAAACCAACAAGTTTATTCGAAAAAAGATAAGTCTTATGTTCGCAAAAGATTGGACGAAGTGGTTATCCAAGCTTGTGATTTAGTGAACAAGATAATGAAGACTTGGCATTGAATTGGGTATCGCCGAAATGCATGATTTATTGGGCAATTTGCTAAGTATTGATAAAATTTGGATTTTTCACGAAGTGCCGCCGAAACGAATTCGAATTCCGAATTACGAAACCCCGAAGAAAAACAAACGTTACATTCTAAAAAACCATTTATCTGAATCGGATGAAATTTGAACATCTGTCATATTCGTCCGACTTAATAATTTTTTTGAAATTTAAAGAAGAAAATATTAAACCATAAATTTACAAAACATTGCGTCTGAAGTAGAAAGGCCTTCTTCAAAACACAACCTTCAGTGGTGCTAGATGAGCTCGAAACGTATCGTTGATGTTCGAAAAAGCCGTGTTTACTTTAAAAAGCACCTGTAAACCCTAACGACCTAGAAACGCATTTATATATATATATATATACTTTTTTTTTTTTTCTTAGGACGTGCTTTTTTAGTGTCTTTCTCAATAATAATTCCAAAAATTGAAATCAATCAAATTTTTTTATCGAGTCTGTCATTCAGTTTTAAAGAATTTTCAAGAGAAGACCTAGTATTGCATCGTCTTGGAAAAACCTTTCATTCCTGCACGTGAAAAGGATTTGGTTTTTATACAAGACATTTTTCGAAAATTTAGGAATCTGTGGTAAACGTTAAATGCGTTATGTTCCTCGTTAATTTCCAAGAAGATGCTGTTGAATAGTGATTTGTGATACGATACGATATGGGGTTATAAAAAATCATTCCTTTAGTCAGGAAAAATATCAACATGGACTGTAAATTTGAATATTCCTGACCCTTTCATTTGGAGATATGGATTGTTCCAAACACACTAAACCACTACAAGAGAACGTTACTAAGAAGAGCAATGGCGGCCATCACGAGACGATTGCAATACATGAACAAGAATTTTGAATGGATTTTGAACCTCGCATTAAAAGTCTAGAAAGAATGGGTATTTTGTACGACAAATTGGCTTGAGAAGAGCAGTATTTTAAATTATAATTTATTGTATTTCGCGTTTTTAGTAAGCTTTCAATTTTAATAACAAATTCTTTTGAAACCTAATAGATGCTCCGTTAGTGTCTGTTGGTACTAGTGTACGATTTTTGTCCTTGCAATATATTCGCTTAATCCCTATGACGCATCGTATGTTATATTCCCCAGATGAGGAGCCGAGTAGGCAACAGTCTCGTCTACCAGTAGGTCTGTTTGCGCCGGTTCAAATCTCAATGCAGAACTTAGTCGGTAGACAAATAAAACGTACCGACTGGGCACGCATCCAGTAGCCTGCTGGTGCTTCTTTATCTCTTTCCCTTCCTCATTTCTCTTTTAGCCGCCACGAACAGGGGAAATAGAAGAAAACGAAAATCTTTCTTGGGTTTTCCACCAGTTTCGATGACCCTATGGTCCGATTTAGTTAAAGCTAGATACTGGGACATGTGTATTATAAAGATATATTTCGAAAAATCCTAAAGTTGTAAGCTAGGGGGTGTAACATTTTCTAGCCCTATTTTGTAAAATTTCGTTTTACGCTAATTGTAGATGAACGTCTTAAGGGGAGAACCCACTGTAAAATTAAAAAACCAAACTTTTTTGTTGGCTTTAGTAGTGCAAACTTTTGAAAAAGTGTGGAAAAAATTCATTATATGAGAGAGACTTCTTCCCTTGAATTGTCCAAGCATTAAGAAAACACTTACGGGGTGAAGAGAATCAATGTCTTGGCTGTTGATTTCTAATTTCTTTAATACATTAGCAGATATGTTTGGAATGTGTTTCCACTGTGTCAAACGTGCAACTCTGTCGCTTACACATGCAGCTGGAGGCGCTATTTCGAGGATAAAATCGTGACAAGGCAGAATGATCTTGCAAGGGCTGTTCTACGGTTTTGAATGGAAAAATATAATAAGACATTTATTGTAATAAAATAACATTTATAATAACACTTATTAAAACTTTTAAGGTGTTTTTCTTAAAAGACGATATTTCAAAGCGTCAAGCGACATAACTCCAGCAGTTCTCCTTCGAATATCTAAATAAATACTTTTAATTGAGGTCTTTTAATTGAACGACTACAGTTCCCTAAATCGAATAGATACTCTTTCATATTACTAGACTACCACTAGATATTGGAATGCGTTACCACTGAGTCATAAATCCATCGATTATTCATTCAATACGTTTAGAAGAAAATTGACCGGACTGCTAAACTCACAAGGTATATATTGTTGCTGGTACGAATTGATGATTACGGACTTTATGGAGCAAGATGATTACATGGTATGTAACTAGGTAATAGGGGCATGGCTTTATAGTTGATAGTAATAGAAATGGAATGAAATACGGAGGACATCCTTCTTTCACTTTTCTTGTCCCTTTGTGCCATTATACGCAATACCCAGAAGGATTTAAGATAGATCATGTCTGTCCATGTATTCTTGTGTTAAACCCGTAGGTCGTTATTTTAAAGACATTTTGATGAAATTCGGTGTATTGATTGATCGACTGCTTTAGACTAAGGCCAATCCCTCGATCGCTAAGGTTCGAATCGGATCACATTTTTGGCCACTGCCTTTATAACGCCTTATTTTGAAAAATGCGAAAAATTGCAATTTTCGAAATTCCTTGATGAAAATTGTTGAATAATCGTATTTTGGCATTTTTAGCTGTAAACAATGTTGATACTATGGGACAATATTTTTTGGTCTCCTTTCACATAATTGTTGCTAGGAAAACTAAATCTTTTAAAAATGTGTAATTTTCAACATTTCATGTCCCATCCTAGGTAAGTTTTTTTGATGATCAATCATCATCTCACAAATAGTAAGAGCCCTTTAGCAAAAAGGTTTAGTGTTTAATACTTTATGATAAAAATTTGACCAAAGCGGCGCATGTAGAGTAGGGCGTCTCATTTAGCGGCAAAGTCCATATGGCGGAAACAGGTGAAAAGTGATAAAATCATCAACAAGCAAATTAAGTTTATTGTATTCGAGTCGTGTCAGGTGACATTTTGGCAGCCAGCCTGCAATATGAGGACTTTCATGAAAATAGTGCATTTATTATACATAAAAATGATGCATAATTTTTGGTGTATTATTTCGAAAATGAATGAATAACCCTATTAGGCGAAGCGGTGAGGGGTAGACGGCCATGGTCAGTTTGTTTAATATTTTTCAAAATTAGTTTTTTTATTTGATACTATGTCTGCCTGAACAACCGAGTAAGCAAAGAGTCTCGTCTGACAACTCAATGGACATGAGTTAAATTCTCAAGTGCGATAAAGCCAATATCTTTAGATGCTAGTCCTTTAAGACTTCAGTCTTAAATTAACCGGCAATTGGCTGTAGGCAATGGAAAATATTTGTAAAAAAAAAAGAAAATCATACAACAATGTTTCGTTAATTTTGAAAAAAAAAAAATTAATTGATGTATTTCGACGTCACCATAAACAAACACTTCTTGAGTTCGACAAATCTGCGGCGTACGTAAATAATACCTTCCATTACTTTGAAAACATGAAAAGCCATGAAACAATTATTTTTAGCGTTTGAACATAAAGGAATTTTGTTTTGCATTTGCTACGTGATCAGTGTAGGACACCCTTACATAATGCAATTTTACACCTTTATCTGAACCAGTCTTCAACGTCGTCTTTTCGTACATTCATGAGATGACGCTTTAGGTTTTTTCGTCTGTACATTGCGCTCTAATAAATCATTCCTAGGTCGACCAGTTTTGTAGCAGTTTATAGGAGATTCCACATTGCAAAGAGCATCAGCCAAATCATTGCGGAGCTAATGAAGATTTGACAGTGGTTTGTTTGAATTCCCTTCTGCAATAGATTTTTTTTCAGAAAAAATGGCACCAATAGATGATAGAAAAGGCGGACGTACCATTTACGGTTTTTGACGCATGCGAAAGCGAGCTAAGTAGCGATCCAACAAATCCAGTCCATTCATATGCATATTATAATCATATGTTTTAGCCTCTTACCATATTGGTGGATATTGTCTGCGCATTGCAAGCCAATATAAGTAGACAACAAAGGAACAGCCTTGTTGTCTTTCCACACCGTCGCTGAAAAGTCAACACCATCATGGAGAGAAATTCCTTTTTTCATAAGTTACTTCATCTTCATTAGATCCTTCTTGCTCACGACAATTCCGCTTGCTGTTGTACAATTCCGACACAATGGAACTCTTGTTTCGATAAATGTATTCCAGGAGTAACGATGTGCAAGAATTATCGAAAAACACTATGTGATTCCTCCCTCTTAGTATCACTCTAGCTAATTGTAAAACGACATTATTGCTGACTCCCAAATGTCGCTCATCTGCCGTTCTATTTCTTTTGTCTTCTTGTCCGAAGAACACTTTGAAACGGTATGCGTATCCCATGAGACTAAATAAGAGAAGTGGCTTGTAGCTTCGCTTATAGAACCTTACTTGGCAAATATTGTTTCGTTGTATTGCATTTTTGTTGAAAACATTTGTTCATCTGTTGAGAGGCGATGATCTATGGATATAGATGAAAATGTTCTATGGATATAAATGAAATGATCTATTACAGATCTGATCATGTGCAGATGAACGTGATTTCGATCATCCCACGGAAAATGTTTTTCATAAAATAAAAATAAAAGCGAGTTGAAGTACGAGTAAGCAATTAGTGTGAAAATTATTCATCTACACTGTAATTATATGATTTTTAAAAGGAAAGAATACAACTCCTTAAAAAAGCCACGACAATAGTAATAAATATAAGTAATACACGTTTCGTAAAATAAATTTAGGTTCGGTGAACTTATGTAGAATCGATTGTGCATATTGATGTGTTTTAATATCACAAAAAAACGGCATTTTTCTTGCATAAATTTATCATTTATCGCAAAGGTATAAATATTACTCGTTAATCTGTTTCTATATGAAAGCAATTTTTCCGGTACGTTTTTATTACTTTTTATATAAATACTCGTAAGTCGTAACACCCGACTCAAATAAGGCGCCAACAATGAAAATTGTCACAGGTGTATAATGAGATATGGCGTTTTAAACATACGATGCGTATCTACATCACTATGCATTTAAGGGTTAAAAGTGTTGTGAGAACTTTTTCTCAGTGGATTACAGATTTTAAAGCAGGTCGTGTGGATAGCGATGATGATATTGAGCTTCTCTGGGTGGTTAAATCAGAAAAGATGAAAAAAAAAAATATTGAATATTCTATGGCTCTCGCGTTTACGCCCAATGAAACAAAACCATGAAGACGGACGACTGCAATGGCAGAATGGCATAGATCGCAACATTCAACGCACTCTCCTCATCTAATCTACAGCCATTACAGTATCTATGTGTATGAAAACGGACTTAATTCAAAGGATAAGATCGTTCAGGAAACAAAAGTGTATTTTGAAGAGCTCAGTAAATCACTTAGCTATAGACGTTAGCATTAGCTCCCTTACGGCGTCGATGCTGAGTATCATTTCCGATCATGTTCACAGACTTAAAAAAAAGATTTTGAGAGAATGGCGATTGAAGATTGATTTTTTTAGTAATAGATAAGATAGACCTGAAAATTGTAGCGATTTCGAAAGTCTTTCTAGAGTGACGCTGTCGCATAAAAATTAAAAGAAAGCAAATAAGAAATTTATGTTCTTCGGTTACTACATTTTTTATATCCACCCACATTTTTCTTAAAAGAATCGCAAAAAAAAAGACAAGAAATACTTCAGAATGTTACGTAAGCATTGCAGATGTTTTCTGTTTTATTATATTATAGCAATTTACATGTAAGTAACGAGTCCATTTCCAATACCAATGTGCAATGTGGGTCGTTTAAATGTTTCAAACCAATCTATATCTTCATTTTTATGACCATGGGAATGTCTACCATTACGTTACATTATACACACCGACATATTCAAATTGATTCAGAATTTGATATATTGATTAAGAATGTAAATGCTTCCCAAAGCTACTTCTTGCTAGATCTTGCAAACATTTTGGCAAAATTAATGTATCAATTATTCTTTGGCGGTCAAAACTCATGTAGCCCGTTTATAAAACTATATTGTACCCTACACCATTTGTATTACAAAGATATATTAAGTTTTTGCGGACGTGTGTAGCATGGAGAGGGACTTGAGATAGATTCATCTTTTATTAGGTGTTTACAAAAATTTAGTTCAGCTAATTTTGCAAATAAAAATGATTAAGAGATGGGAAACGTCGGTGTGCATAACGTTTGAATTCGTTGGTTTCGACCTTCCTCCACATAAAGAAACAGTTTTGCATTTAATATTATTGATTTATTCAGCATATGCTGACACTAATCATGGAGCAAATTCTTCCAAATTCATTGCTTTTGTTGTTTATTTGAAGAAATCTGCTACCAAAACCAAACAAACACGTTTACAGGCGTATGGTAATGACGTTCCATTATATTTCAATCGTCGGTTTTGCTTTCAACGGTTTAAAAGTGGCGACATGACCGAATTTACCGAAAATGCCATTTTTGACCACTTGTTGCAAGAGTTGTCCAGGATACACTTTTGCTGCTCGGATGGGAATTGTTCTGCTACACCCAGCGTACTCACTAGACATGTCGCCTCTTGGTTACCACTTTTTCCACTCAGTGTAACGTGGCTTAGCTGGCACGTGGGTCCGCAAAGTTGAAGAAGTGCGAAAATGGGTCGGTGGGTGGATCGCTGCTAAATCAATATAATTTTGTTTCGAAAATGATGGAAATGCCTTTCAAAGGAAAAATGATCAACATTTTTGCAAACATGTAATATACCGATCGATTCAGAATCTGGTCTGCCTAACCTTGCAGAAGATATTTCGATGAAATTTGCTACACTAACGTGACGATGAAAGCTATTGTCAATGGTTCGGATCCGGACCGCTTTTTTGGCCACTGCCCATATAACGTATTTTTTTTGAAAAGTCAATAGATGGAAAACTGTAGGGCGGCATAAGGTATTCAATGGGGGATGGTGTTCCGCTATAGTGTTTTTACTCGTTTTTCAAAAACCCTACAAACTTCTTGACATTCCTAGTTTATATGCATTGAACGACGTTTAGTGCTCGGTTGTTATACATTTTATCTTTGTGCTTAGATCGCTTTCAATATTAGCAATTTTTTTAGGAACACAATGAATCCTTTAACAGTATAGGATCGGGAGATAATGATGATACCCGCGAAGAACATCATGGTTCAGGAAGTGCTAGCGGTAGTTCCTCAGAATCCGATTCCGATTCAGACAGCTTGTCATCTTCATCAAATTCAAGCGGACCACGTAGCTCGCCCACGCCGCCTGAGAGAAAACGGGAACGTGAAAACAACGATGACGAGAATGCGCGGGATGCACATCAGCATCATCAGCGTCAGCATCAACAACAACAACAAATTCGAAAACGACAGCAACCTCAAAATCCGCAAAAGAATTCAGAAGCTGGACTTCCACCCACTGCTATGGATGCTCAAGAAGACACCAAAACAAATGGTTATTCGGATGAGAACGAAAGCAGCGATAGTGTTAGCAGCAATGAAAGCAATTCGTCCAATAGTGAGGATAATGAAGAAGAAGAATCAGCCAGATGTAAACGGCAAAATCATCGATCAAATGATCATGGTAGCACTAGAAAACGTGAACGTGCTGGACGTTACGAAACTAGTGGTCACATTACAAAAGCCAGACTTAAAAATACCGCAGTCGCCACAAACACAACAATTACATCTGCCGCAAGAGATAAAAATACCTCATGTACAGCCAATACCCATGAAGACTCCAATGCCGATGATTCCAACCTCAGCAATGACGAGGATTCTTCCAACAGTGATAACGGCCGTGCTGAACAAGAAAAATCTAAAAAATCGACAACCTGCAAGAACATCAATATTATTCAAACGTGTACTACGCTGCAAAAGGTACCAGAAGAAGCCCTGGAGAAAAAGACGACGACGGCCGCGGAGACTGAAGCAGTAAAAACACAAAATTCCGATTATGATGAAGAGGATGGCGATGAAGAGGCTTCAGAATCAGCCGAATCAGCTAAAAGCTCCAATTCTTCTTTGGAGTCTCCTACAGAGAGCAGTAGCACCAGCAGTGTAAGTAATAGCTGACTAATCAATATTACGAATTCAGGTGAGGTTCATTTTCTGGCATTGCAGGAAGACACTGAAGATGATTATCAGCCCACACGTCCGGCTCGTCAAACCCGCAAGCTCGCAACTGCCGAAAAAATCAAGAAACCCATCCGAAAAAAGAAAAAGAAACAGAAGTAATCAAAAGTATTTATATGTCTGTAGAATGGTTGATTATAAAAGCAATCCTTTTAAATATAGTTGGAATTCTGAGGAAAGCGATGATAGCGATGATGATAGTGACGATTCTTTACCCGCCAGACGAAAGCCTCCCCTAAAGCACCATAAACAACAGCAGCAAAAACGTAATAGGAAGTCACCATCAACGGAAGAAAGCGGCGAAGACAGCAAAAGGTGGAGAATTTGAAAATATTTTAGAAGAATGTTTACTTTGCAAGAAAGATTTCAAAAAAGTTTTATTGGTTTTTTTTTTTTTTTCTTTCCTTTGCATAAACGTTTAGGTTTGGCACACGGCGCGCTGCAGCAGCCGTCAGCTATAAAGAACCTTCAGAAGATGAAAAGACTGATTCTGAAGATTTGGTTGAGGTGGATTACGGTGAGAGTCAGGCGGAAGCGGCTACTTTGGCTGCTGAGGAGGAAGAAAAGTGTGAAACTATTGAACGCATTTTAGCCAAACGTCAGGGCAAAAAAGGTTGCACTGGTAATCAGACAACCATTTATGCTATTGAAGATAGTGGGGTTGATCCCAACGATGGTGTTGGAGAAGTTGATTTGCAAAATACCGAAGTGCAATATCTCATTAAATGGAAAGGTTGGTCTTACATACACAACACGTGGGAATCTGAGGATACATTACGCGAGCAAAAGGTTAAAGGGATGAAAAAATTAGATAATTTTATTAAGAAGGAGCAAGAACAAGAATATTGGCGTAGGTACGCCGGGCCTGAAGATATTGATTACTATGAATGTAAATTAGAATTACAAAACGATTTAATCAAGTCTTACAACAATGTTGATCGAATCATAGCCCGTAACGTTAAGCCGGAGGGCGTTAGTGAATATTTGTGCAAATGGCAATCATTGCCGTATTCAGAGGCCACTTGGGAAGATGCAACCTTAGTGTTTCGCAAATGGAAACGTTGCGTTGATCAGTTTGAAGAGCGTGAAATGTCTAAGTGTACTCCTTCGCGCCACTGCAAGGTGCTTAAATATCGTCCGAAATTTTACAAAATCAAAAGTCAACCAGATTTTCTAAGTGAATGTCTGGCATTACGTGATTATCAGATGGACGGTCTGAATTGGCTTCTTCACTCGTGGTGTAAAGAAAATTCAGTGATATTGGCCGACGAGATGGGTTTAGGTAAAACTATACAAACAATATGCTTTTTGTATGCTCTGTTCAAGATCCATCATTTGTATGGGCCGTTTTTGTGTGTAGTGCCGTTAAGCACAATGACTGCGTGGCAGCGTGAATTTGATCTCTGGGCTCCTGAAATGAATGTAGTCACCTATTTGGGTGATGTTAAATCCCGCGAAATGATACGTCAATACGAGTGGACTTTCGATGGTTCGAAAAGACTGAAATTTAATTGTATTCTCACCACATATGAAATTGTTTTAAAAGATAAAATATTTTTGGGTGCTTTGCAATGGGCAGCGCTGCTAGTCGACGAGGCTCATCGTTTAAAAAACGATGATTCTCTCCTCTACAAGTCCCTCAAAGAATTCGACACAAATCATAGATTGCTGATTACCGGCACTCCATTACAAAACTCTCTTAAAGAATTATGGGCACTGCTGCATTTCATAATGCCCGAGAAATTTGTAACTTGGGAAGATTTCGAATTGGAGCATGGTAATGCGGCCGACAAAGGTTACACCAAATTGCATCAACAACTTGAGCCGTATATACTACGTCGAGTCAAGAAAGATGTAGAGAAATCGTTGCCCGCTAAAGTTGAACAAATATTACGAGTTGAAATGACTGCTCTGCAAAAGCAGTACTACAAATGGATATTAACGAAAAATTTCGATGCTCTGCGGAAGGGTAAACGTGGTTCTACATCAACGTTCTTGAATATAGTAATTGAACTAAAAAAATGTTGTAATCATGCGGCCCTAATTCGGCCATCCGAATTTGAATTGTTGGGAATGCAACAAGATGAGGCTTTACAAACGTTGCTGAAGGGTTCGGGAAAATTGGTACTTCTAGATAAACTTTTGTGCCGTCTCAAAGAGACAGGTCATAGGGTTCTAATATTTTCCCAGATGGTGCGCATGTTAGACATTTTAGCTGAATATTTGCAGAAACGTCATTTCTCCTTTCAACGTTTGGATGGCAGCATAAAGGGCGAAATGCGTCGTCAAGCTTTGGACCATTTTAATGCTGAAGGAAGTCAGGATTTTTGCTTTCTTCTTTCCACTCGTGCGGGCGGGTTAGGTATAAATTTAGCAACCGCTGATACCGTAATTATTTTCGATTCCGATTGGAATCCCCAAAATGATCTGCAGGCCCAGGCCCGTGCTCATCGAATTGGTCAAAAAAATCAAGTGAATATCTATCGTTTGGTTACAGCCCGTTCTGTGGAGGAGCAAATAGTCGAAAGAGCCAAACAGAAAATGGTTTTGGATCATTTAGTTATCCAGAGAATGGACACTACTGGGCGTACCGTCCTAGATAGGGGTAGTAGTGGTTCTACTAACACCACGCCATTCAACAAAGACGACTTATCGGCCATTTTGAAATTTGGGGCAGAAGAGTTGTTTAAAGATGAACAGGACAACGATGAGGAATTGGTGTGTGACATCGATGAGATTTTGCGTCGAGCCGAAACCCGCAATGAAGATCCCGAAATGCCAGGTGACGATTTGTTATCCGCATTTAAAGTTGCCAGTATTGCAGCTTTCGAAGAAGAACCTGATACCACTACGAAAGACAACGAAAATGCGATGACCGGGGAGCAGGAGGAAGACACTAAGGACTGGGATGACATAATACCAGAGGATTATCGAAAAATTGTGGAAGACGAAGAAAAAGCCAAAGAAATGGAAGATTTATATTTGCCGCCACGCCGAAAGACAACGGCCTCTGGACAGCAAGCGGATACGCCAAATAAAAAGGAATCTGCAAGAAAAGGTCAGCCAGATGACAGTAACGATTCTGACTATGATGTTGGCTCAGATGCCAGCGGTGATGGCGAAGGTGGTAGACCTAAGAAGCGTGGGCGGCCAGCTATGAAGGAGAAAATAATCGGTTTCACTGATGCTGAAATACGACGTTTTATTAAATCCTATAAGAAATTTCCTGCCCCGTTGATGCGTCTCGAGGCTATTGCATGTGATGCGGAGTTGCAGGAAAAGCCTTTGGCAGAGTTGAAACGTATTGGCGAAATGCTTCACGACAGATGTGTCCAGTTCTTGGAAGAGCATAAAGAGGAAATCAGCAACTCAAAGAAGCCTGTTGACAACACTGATGACAATGGTTCCAAGCAAAGACGTAGCAGAGCCACATTTTCGATTAAACTCGGTGGAGTTTCCTTTAACGCTAAAACCCTCCTAGCATGTGAAGAAGAATTGAAACCCTTAAATGAATTAATGCCAAGCTCAGCCAATGAACGTCTCATTTGGTCACTCGATATTAAAACAAGACCTGCGAACTTCGACGTGGAATGGGGTGTGGAAGAGGACTCCAAATTACTATGCGGCATTTATCAGTACGGCATTGGATCGTGGGAACAAATGAAAATGGACCCAAGCCTCAAGTTAACCGAAAAGATGCTGTTCAATGATGCTCGCAAACCACAGGCCAAGCATTTGCAGTCACGATCGGAATACCTATTGAAGATTATTAAGAAAAGTGTAGAGCTGAAGAAAGGTGTAGCGGGCAAGCAACGAAAGCCTCGTAAGCCCAGAACAGAAACGAAGAATATGTCCGTCAATGCGACGCATAATTCAACACCAGAACGGAGAACACGTAACATATCAGAAGGCGATGAAGCTTCGCAGTCCGCGCTCGCAGAGGCGGGAGCAACAGGAGAAAGACGGTCAAGAAGGGGAGAGAATGGTTCCAAGCCGGACTATAGCGAAATGGATTGCAATTCGAATGATGTCGACGTTAGTATGTCATCAATATCAACTAAAAGAAAACATAAACATGGGACTCACAAAGATAAAGAAGCAAGTAAAAGCTCTCGAAATAAAAAACCTAGCACTTCAGATTCCAGCAATAAACCGATGCATTTTACTGCCAACAACGAGCCACGAGCGTTAGATGTGTTAGGCGATTTAGATCCGAACATTTTCAATGAGTGCAAAGAGAAAATGAGACCGGTTAAGAAAGCTCTAAAAGCTTTAGATCGGCCTGATTCGAGTCTTTCTAATCAAGATCAAATTAAACACACGCGAGAATGTCTATTATCCATAGGAAAGCAAATCGATATTTGTCTTGAGGCCTACAAAGAACCTGAGAAGAAAGAATGGCGAAGTAATTTATGGTATTTTGTGTCCAAATTTACAGGTAGGCTTGCAAAAATTGAAGAAAAACGATTAACGATGATAATTATATGTTTTCCTCCTTTCTATGGTTCTCTTAGAATTTGACGCCAAGAAATTGTTTAAATTATATAAAAGCGCTCTGAAAAATGACGAAGAAATCGGAGGTAAAACCTCCACAAAAGCGAATTCCCAATCACCTACCAAAAGGATGAAAGATGAACGCATGGCACAAAATGGCGAAACCGTAAACGAAGGAGGCAAAACGTTTAAGAAAAAGAAAAAAGATAAAGATCGAGATAAAGATAAATTTGAACGCTATGCATCTACAGTTGACGAAAAGCCAGGTGTTAGCGGCCAAGGAGACAAAAATAAACGTCTGGGTATGAGCGCAACCGATATATCGCCTCTGAAAAGGAAACGAGATGAAAATGATTTAGGAGCTTTGGTTCCTGTGGGTATTGGTGGCTCAATGAATGCAGAGTTAAAAGCTATGTCTTTTAAACGCCTCAATATGGATGCGAATAGAGGAAGGTAAGCATGGTTTGAAAAATTTTCAAAGGAAAATGGCTTATAGTACTTTATGTATGTTTGTTATACAGAAACCGTGATGAACGAAAAAGTCGCTACCGTGACGATTACTTTAGTCCCGGAAACAATGACAGTTTGAATCATGATCGTCGAAATTCTTCACTACATTCCCCATCAACACCTAACAATCGCGGACATTTAAATTTAGGTAATAACCGCTTACCGCCAAGAGGCTATTCTTCAGGTGGGATGGGTAATATGGATTGTGGTCGCAATAACTCCTCTCCTTACGTTGAAGGTGGTGCTAGTGAACGCTGGAGGGGGCATAGTCGGGATCGGTGAGTAAAAAAATTGAACAAAATGATCGTTAATTTCTTATATCGTGAGAGAATTTACAGTTACGGAAATTCCGATTACAAACGTGACCGTTATGGTGGTGGTGGTGGTGGTGGTGGTGGTTATCGTCGCGATCACCGAGATCGTGACCGGGATCGCCGCATGGATAAAAGAAGGTAAATTATTTAAAATTTATACATCCAACGTAGGCGTTTAAATATCTTCGTCTCAGATATCCACCGGCACATATGCCGCCTCATGGTGGCTACGCCAATCATTACATGCCGCCAAATTATTATATGGCAAATGGAGTCTTGCCACCAGGCATGGGTCCTCACGGTGGGTATCGTCCTTTAGCGTCGGGCGATCCGCGTTACAGTCATGGCGGTGATTGGTCAAGGGAACATTATGTGGCGGACTCCTATCGACGAGGTGGGAGCGGTGCAGGCAATTCGTCGGCATCCAACAATGGGAATACCAGTGGAATGGGAATTGGTATAACCGAAGGCTATGATAGACGTGGTCCACCTACATAATTCATTGTAATATGTCTGCGTTCAAAATACCTGCTTGCGTTTTTTTTTAGGACATTTCTCCTCTATGTACAGATATTTTTACACAGCTTTTATATATAGTTGAAGTTTTGCGCCTCTCCATTATTCGGTTAATTCTTGAAACGAATCCTAGCCAAGCATGGAACAAATAAGTGATTTTGTTAGAGGGACGTAGAATTAATTCAAGGGATTTGTTAAATGTTTGTTTTTTTTTTTTTCTTTTTCGAATTAGCTACAATTAATTTTATTTTTACTGTTTTTGGACTTGAAAAATATTTAGCTTTTGAAACTTTGAGGAAAATGCTGTAAAAAGTAAGTGTTAAGTTAATTTAAGAAAACCTTTTCTATATACAAATATATACATATATATATATATGTATACATATATATATATATATACATGTATACATAAATACATGAATATATATATATATATATATATACATTCTTAGAGCAGTCTAAAACTTATCATGCATAAAATAATTTATCATCTTTATGTGTATACATATATTAGAATGGAACGAATGTGGAAAATTCCAATTTGAAACTCACTTTATGTTTTTATTTAACTCTTAATTTCAAACAGACAACAATATAAGAAAAAAAAAAAAAAAAAAAATGCAATTACAAAAAGAACTTCTGTAAAATAATAAAAAAAAAAAAACAAAAAAAAACAAAAAAAAACGAAAATATAGCTATTACTGTAAATGTGAATTTTTTTATTTCTTTTAATTATTTATAAAATGTATGACAACTTTTTTAAAAATGAATAAATTATTGAAAAAAATTTCTTTTTTAATGCTCAGAATAATTATAAAACACATTACATTAAAAATATCATTTAAATAAAACACTCTAAACCCTAAGTTTAAAGAAGTAAACAAAATGTAAAAAAAAAAGAAAAAAACAAAAAGTCAGCATTCACTAATTTTACGTAATTTACTTGAAGCAGTTAAGAACTTAAAGAATAACTATCTTATAACCTAGAATTATAGGAAATAAAAAAAAGAAAATAAATAAATGTACATTCATTCGCGTGTCTTTTTCTTTTTTTTTTTGTTTGTGCTCCCTTATATACACACATTTGCTATTTACCTTAAAGCTGGCTTAATATTTTTTTATACGTTTCCACCGAAAAACGGAGAGATTGCAAATTTTATTTTGCAGGTAAGGCGCGACTCTGAAGCAAGTAGGGAAAATTCCTAATGACACGTTAGTGTTACATTTAATATTGTTCGATAAGCGTTGTCGTGCCCTTTCATTGTAAAATGTCTGATTTGGCTTTTCTCTTAGGTATGTCTTTTTCCCCCATAGACACTTTATTTTTCTTTGCTTTTTTTTTATTATATATCCTCACTTCACTTTTGACAATTCTATATAATGATGATATCAAAAGGGCATACACATTTTAACATTTAGAAACCAATCAAATATGAAAACAAGCAGTCAAGTAACGTAACTGATGTGAGTACTGTTGGCAATATTAAATATATTTTCAGTCATTATACCATACATAGCGCATTAAATGGGTGCGGACGTATGTAACAAGCAGAAGGGCTTAAGATACACCCATCTTTTAGCCTGTTTATCCGTCTGATGTCCGTCCATGTAAATTCGTGTTCCAAGTTACTTGTCGCAGTTTTTAATATATTTTGATCAAGTTTGGTACGGTGACGTGTTTTGAATCGACACCGAACGCTGTTGTGAAAATGGTTTGGATCGGTCCCATGTAACGCCTTATTTTGATTTGCGATTTTCAAAACTTTTCGGCAAAAATGGCTAAGTAGTATGAAAACTTTGAACGAGAACTGAGGTTCATATGACAAAAACGTATAATTGAAGATGAAAATTGTGTCATAATAGTGATTTAACATAAAAAATATTAACTGTAGGGTGTATAATGTTCTTACTTGTTTTTGAAAAGAATTTATGACATTTAAAATATTTGGAATTTTATTTAAAGCATTTCCATTATTAGATTATTCTTTTCTCATATGTCTAATAGCACATAAACTCTGTGACGGTATAAAAACATTGTCTTGTACGCTATCCGAAAAAATTTGGAAATCTTTTAAATTATCCAAGAATATTTCAGATGTCTACAGTGATTGAACAGGATCAATGAGGAGTGAAATGCAGCTAGTTTCCAGTTTTTCGAACAAGTTTCTGCATGAAGAAAAGTCACGTTGTAATGTAACTGGGTATCGCGTATACATAGCAGAGCTTGAATTTTAGTGAGCCATTGAATGAGTTGTGAAGAAGTTTCAAAGCATAGAATCAGAGTGCATGGAATGCCGGGGAATACACGATAGTAAATATCGCAGCACTGTATGGAATTATTGTCTACGATCCGCTTGATACATGGGCGAAATGGTGATCTATTTGTGGTATACCGTTTGAAAAAGTTTACAACCTTTCTTGACAATTGTCATTCACTTTTATCTTTGCATCTGTTGGAACCTTTTTTTTCAATTACGCGACAATGTTATTATGTCCTGAGTCAGACTCTTTTGATAACAGTTTGCTCATAAAATTGCAATGAATATATCACTTAAAGTTGAGTTTAAAATTATAAATGTCTGTAAATTTGTGTCTTGCCAACTGCTAAATTTATTCTTAGAGAGATGGACATTAATTAGTTCACGAAATAGACACTCCCAGATTCTGAATCAATTTGGTCATACATTTTCGACCGTCTGAATATGTCTTTGGCATATATATGTTTCCTGGATGACGAAAAGGACGCGCTTAAGTATCCATAATATGGAACGTATGTGCCACGTTAGAAACTGTAATATAAAAAAGGTGCCAATTGTTGCCCTACAATAGCGAAGTTCTTCCAATATTTTAAAATTTGCTCGAGCGCATATCAGACAACCGTACCCTGTGTTTTTGCGTCGTCTCGTAAATTCTTGCGATGTATTTAAAATTTTCTATACATAATGTAGGAGAGTATACATACATTAACACATTTTGCGACGGAGAGATACTTTTTAATAGTGAATAAGACTGGATGTTGATATTTAACAGCAACAGTGTGAATGGCTTTTATTGTTAATTATTTATTTTAAAGTGATTACATTTAAAACTAATAAATTAAATGCAGTTATATATAAAAAGATATATTTAATGATAATGAAAAAATTCGAGATTGGTGGCGTATTATGGCTTTCAGTGCATATGTTTTTGATCTTTTTGCTTTTTGCCTGTTTCACTGCTCTTCCTGGCCTTTTTTTGCAGACCAGTGCAAATAATTTGGTTGCGTAGCGGCTTCGTATTCCTGCACCAAACAATCAACTACATCACGGGAATTATCCAATTCAGAGAGATCATCTTTAAATATGTCTTCGCGACGAAATTGATCTAGAAAGGCCCCGCGTTTTTTTAACTTATCGTATTGACCTAGGGCGCGTTCAAACAGGGAACAAATACTGGTATGATTGGCCAGCATAAGGCCGGAAACGCGATGGCTGCTTTGAACGTAAGGAGAAGAGCGAGAAAGAGCTACCTGTATACTGGTAGGTCCCCATGGTATAAATTGCGCCAGTTTACGTTCCCGTATACGTTGCAGAGATTTGTGAACTTGAGTTGGATCCACTTCACCCTGAAAAGCACAGAAGTTTTCATTGATAAATATAATTGTTTCTTTTTTTTTAACTCACTTGTATAATATTTAAAATTGATATGTAACAATGATGATTGGTTTTATCTGGACCGGTAGATACCATCATATTTTTAGGTTGTAATAAGCGACGCATAACATCTAATACTGTAGTTTTACGCACATTTACTGGTTGCTAAGCAATTATGCAAGGAAAGAAAATGCTTTAAAAGGACTTTTTTGCAAAATATCAACTTACATCACTGTCGGTGCTAAGGGGAGTATAACCAGTCATAAGGAAATGTAATTGAGGTGTCGGAATTAAGGGTGCGGTTAGGCCAATTAAATTGTTGTTCATGTACGAAGGATATCGCAGAGTAGTAGTGCTCACCGACATTATGGTGGAAACCAAAGTGTTGATTTGCGAAAAGCTTGGATTTTGTATATGCAAGCGGTCAGTGGCTATGCGATTTAAAGCTGTATTATCTAGTACTACTACACAATCCGCACAGCTAGTTAAACGACGTAAGGTCAGTAAAGAATTGTATGGTTGTACCACCACATCACTAATTTCATCCTGATTAGGAAAAACACTATATGTTTGTATGAGCTTTTTAGGAAAACGATCAGACAAACGTTCCATTATATAGGAACCCATGCCTGAACCTGTACCGCCAGCTATCGAATGACACAAAACAAAACCTTCCAAGGAATCACTGCCATCCGCTTCACGATCGATGATATCAAATATTTCCTCCTGTAATTTTTCACCTTGGCTATAACCAGATGCCCAATTATTACCAGCACCACCACCATGCTTTGAGAGATAAACATTCTCAGGATTGTAAAGCTGCAAAGACAGAAAAATATATATCGACTTTTTTAAGATATTTAGTTACGAAACGTACTTTGGCATAGGGAGAGCTCATTATTGTATGTATAACACGGGGCTCTAGATCTAATAACACAGCCCGCGGAATATAATGGTCATCGTCAGCTTGATAAAAAAACACATCCTTGCGATCTACTCCGTCAGTAGCGAAATCTTCAAGGACGCCGTTAGGTGAAATTCCATGTTCCCAACATAAGCGCTTCCAAAACTCAAAACCAACTAAAGAAATAAATTAAGCAATTAGCAGCTGCTAGGTGATTTACTTTCTCACTTACTTTGATTACCGCACTGACCCAACTGCAGTGTAATAATTTCGCTGGGCATTTTGTCAACTTAGGCCAGCGGCAAGACGTTACGAACCAAATAAGAAATGCAAAACAAACAAAATTTTGTTGTACAAAGCAAACTTGACATACAATCAAGCAATGCAGTGTTGCCATAGCAACAATTTCATATGTTTTCGCCAATTTCATATTCGCCATGCCGACTTTTGATTTCATATATTTTTATTTCATTTGATTTGTAAACAATTTCACATGTTTTCTTTTGAATTCGCCATGCCGGCCTTTGATTGACGATATAAATTATTTAATTCTATTATAATAATAATCTCTGTTAAATGAAAATTCCTTAACAATCTCTGCTAAATGTGATATTGTTACAAATCTATTGGCTTAGTCCATCTCTTTCCAACATACCAAAAAAAAAAAAAAAAATGTGATATTGATTGCGCTACGAAAGTAGATTTACTTACTGCACATTGTTAATTACTTCCCAAGAATTGGAATCATGAAATATTTCATATTTTCATTTATTTATTTTTTGGAATTATTTTTTTTAATTGTATTATGTCCTTTAGAACAAAAATAAGATAAAAAGATTGTTACATTATAGATGGAAAGAACTGAAATTGAATTGGATTTAATAGAAATAAATTAAAAACATTTCAATTTTTTAGTAAGTCATAATCGAAATGCAATTATTGTCAAACTTTAGATAGTGTTCTGTTGCAAATACATAATAAATTATTGTTTGCACAGAATTGATATGTTAATTTTGTTTCATCAATGCCACTTTATTTCTTAATTTCTGCAATTAGTATTATACAATAAGAAATTATAACGAAAAGAACGAGCTATGTTTGATTGTTAATATTTTTCACTAATCAATTTAACGCATTATTTTTAACACGACTCCGAGACGTTATTATGCGCTACATTAAAAGAGAACTGATTGAAACAAGTGTCTCATGTTACCTTTGTTCCAAAATGCGTAATCAAGGTTGAAATGTAATAAAGCATCGCTTTTCAATGAATGTACAATAAAAGAACAAGAAGAAGCGGCACATTAAGAAATAACGGTTCCTTATATTTGTTTACGGAGTGATTTAATAAGTGCAAGAACTCGCGTAATTTTTATGAACAATTGTGTGAAATTTTGGAAATTAGGAAAAAAAAAAAATGAATACGTAAATATAAGTTTATAACATGCATTAGATTAAGTGCCCGAAAAATGTGAAGTGATCGAGTTTTAAAGTGTTTATGCCTGCATTATTGCTTCATTGGTGGAGCAAAACTATTTTTTTTATTGAAAGGTGGAAGCGTTTAAAACATATTTATTGCTATTCAGACTTTTTGTTGAAATTCGACGAGAAATATTTCAGGATAAACAAATTTCCCAATCTGCTCCCGCTGTAATCTGTGCTGGTAAGTGGCTTAAAATGAAATATATTTGTAAAAAAGTTTCCGACATAGTAGTACTGGGTTTAAAAATTGAATTGTCTGTGCACCTATATGAATATCTTTTCAAGGAAATATATCGTAACGCAATAAAATCCACGTACAAAACGAAGAATTAAGGTTTCTCTAACTAAAAACTGCATTTATGAGTTGAGGGTAAAAGAAGGTATTTCTTAAAAAAAAAAAGAAAACTTATACTAAATAACAAGTCAACAGTTTTGTTGACTGAAGTTATAACCAAAAATTATAATTCATTTCCAAAAAAATTTTTTAAAAAATGTACGTACAGTTTATTTCATAGGTAAGAGGTGGGTTAAAATTAAAAAACTAATATTTTGTTAGACCACTTTTAGCATCTGGCATTGTTTTTGTACGTCTTGGCATCGAAGTAGACAATTTTTCAAGTAAAGCTCTGTTAAGTTTAGAAATTTTATTTATTTGTACTAACTTATATTCGATCTATGTAGTACGTCTTCAATTGGTGATTAAGAAAAAGGAGCCACTTCTTTGTGAGAGGTGTACGTTTGCTATCGTTATCATGCTGGAATATTAATTTGTTTGAAAGACCATGGAGAGTTACGGAAGTCTTCATACTGGCTTTCAAATGATTAAGATAAACATGACGATCTATATTAACGTCAATAAAAACCAGGCTTCGTACTTCAGTTACACAAGTGACCGACTATGGCAGACCCTCCACCGTGATTTACAGTATGTAGTAAATTTTGTATTGTGAACGCTTTATTAGGTTTCGTCCACAATCTTTATTTACCATCGTATCCGAATATATTATAATTAGAGCTGCTTTTCCACTTTCGTGGAGCTTTGTAAAGTGGAGGCGTTTTTTTTTGTATTAATTTCTGTTGTAAATGTTTTTTTTCTTGGAATGTCAAAAACCGTTGGCTATCAAAACATATCGAACGGAATTGGATTATATTTTTCTGGATCGTTTGTAATGTGAACAGCGCTAGTTATGGGTTCACTTTTTAGAATTTTGTTCTTTGCTTAATCGGCCCGTTTCATGCTTATTTTCTGTTGTATTGGTGTTATTATTATAATTTCTTACCTCTTGAGAAATTCTGTTGTGTGTTTATATTTTGTTTATGTGTGTATATTTTGTGACATATTGAAGGCAAGAAATGAATAAACGCCTTTTAACGGATAAACTATTATTTTAATCTACGGAAATAAGTAGAGAAGCTATGTACTTTTAACGCAACATGTTTTCCTTCTGATAATGCTAGTGATGTGTGTACGCTTTTTTGTAATATTTTTTGGGTTTGAAGTATACTTTTTGTTTATAACTTTATCTTAAACAAAAAAAAAAAAATATATATATATATATGTTTTTGAAGCCTTATATAACATACGAAAGTTTTTCTTTTTTATAAAATATATTTTTTTTTTTACCTTCAACTCACAAATGCAGTCTTCAGTAAGAGCAGCCTAAATTTTTCGTACTGTATGTAGACTCCATTGAGCTAAGGTGGATAGATCAATTTGTATTTGTAGAGCTGCATCGAGCGGAATATTTTCAATAAAACCTCATCCTACATCAGTGTTCTTCCTAAAGAACATACGTTTACTAAATTCAATTTAAGACGTTTTCTTTTGTTTTATCTGTTTGTCCAGATGTGATCTATGATGCTGCCTTCCAAGGCAGACGGTTTTATACGGTACAAGGGGAAGATTCTGAATGTTTATATATTTTGAAAAATTTTGGCTGTTCTCGGTTTACTTTGTATGATTGTTTGTTGCAGACGCTTCGTGTTTATACAATGTATAAAATGTTTCGAAATAAGTGATAATTATAATAATAAAGGAGCGGATATCTTTCGTTTGTTTTCAAATTTTCTACACCTACCTACTGTAGTTTTCGGAGTATAAGACGGACGCACCAGACGATAAGACGCAATCAAATTTGTAAAATGATTTTTAGAAAAATACATTTTAATGTTAGTTTCGGATCAAAATTTTTAATTATTGTTAGCATAAGTCGTACTAGCACTGTCTCGACACTATCGCTCGTCTCGTTAATATCTTCGTTCGTGTTACTTTCATCTGAACTATTGTTATCACGCCTTTCAAAAACTTCGTCATCTTTATCATTACATCTTCACATTTTTTAAACGACTTTATAATTATCGACTTCTCTTTTAAACTCAAATGAATCCTGCGAAAACGCCCATAATTACAGCCTAAGTTTAATACTAGCTTTCGATGATCGTGGGCAAAGGGTTTAGATAAATCAGTGGTTCCCCATGTTTGTCTTGAGATAAGTTGTGTCATACCTATCTTCGGTGGCGTACAATATTTTTCGGACTATAAGACCTATCTCAAATTTAAAGACGACTTATTGAAAAAGTATTTTAATGTTATCTTCGGACTATAAGACGCATCCAAAAAATGAGTCTACTTTTCTATGTAAAAAGGCGTAGTATTTAATATTGTTTTGTACAACATATTGCATAGTTTCACCGTTACAATCGTCTAGACCTAAGCAATACGTCACTTGGAGCGGAGTATCAAAGGTCTGTCCTTCTCCTTTTTCGATTTTAAAAGTTATTCCTAGTTTGATAGCGATTAATAGACTTCCCCTTGTTCTGTGTGTTTACGAATCGACAACAGATGACTTGCTTCGAGGGACAGCAGAGGCGAACAGCAATAATCTTTTTTTTTTTTTTTTTTTTCTTAACCTTTATAAGCCACACTCTCTTTGACAAAAAAACTTTGTGTACAAATGTTTTAAATAAATGATGAGAACTAGATTTTGTAGCATATTTTAAGCTGTATGTAGAGGGTTCAATAGACCGTTACATGCAACAGATATAGTTTATAAAAATATAAAAAACGAATGAACAAATCACAAAATGACAATATATAAAATAATATAACATAACTGTCTTTTAAAATCATATATACATCATTCATAAAAAATAAATAAAACTTGCGCATACTAAGTTTTGGGTTCGTCTAAACTTGGGACGTCATTGAGCGAAATGGCATTATTATACGCATATTCAGTAAATGCGGATCCGTAATGTAAAATTAATTTGCTTAAGGCATCGACATCATTTTCAGCACGATGTAAGTCCTTGAAGTCTTCTTGAAATATACGCTTATATATGTTGCCTAGTTTGTAATAGCCTCGAATTGGATTTGGTGCGGAAAAGAGAGAACGCTTAGCAGGCACACTTTCGCCAGCGTTAGCTAAACCTTTTCTGTGATATATCTTGCAAGGTCTGTGTGGTGTAGTTTCATTAATTTTTTGCCAATTAATGGGATCATTAATAGGCAAAAGAACATGTTTCGATGAAGTTGTTTCGGGACTTATTTCATCGTCATTCTCTCGCTTTGTATCTTCGCTAACGTTCTCAACATCTGCGTTCATTTGATTACTATTATTATTATTATTATTTATCTCTATCTGAGCATCAATGATCTGAAATGCTTTCCAAGAATCCACACATAAAATAGACGTTGGAAATTTCTGGTTGAATACAAAAGAAAGACACTCATATAATAATATTTACTAAATACCCAAGGTTGCTAAATAATACCAAGTCCAAGTTTTTCATGACATAACGTAAAACGGGAAAGTCAAAACCCAAGCCATTATGAGCCACCAAGCATACTGGCTGCTGTAAACGTTGTAAAAATGATATCAGCAAATCCGCGGTGTTTTCATCGAATGGCTGTTCAGGCTCCAACATCCAATTATTTAAGCCTATAGCATTGCAATTATTTGGGATATTTAATAAGACGCGTCACATTAATCAAGAGCTAACTTACCAGTTATGTTTTCCGTTTCGGGCCATATTTTTCGACGGGGATTAACCATTAAAGTTAATTTATGCAAAACTCTTGGGAGTTCTGGTATTGATTTTTGGCTAAGCCAATTGTTCCCCTTTCCAACTGATGTAGTTTGCCTTTCAGTTTGTTTCGCTTCGAATTTCGAGGAAAAAGCGAATATACAGAGTTCCGTTATACTACATTTGTTGAATTGTAAATCCGGTAAACTATTTGTTTCCAAGTCTATAACTGCAAAGGTGGCTATCTTACTATGCGGCATGTTTAGTATTTACGTACTGAAGAATTTTTAAAATAATTCACTAAATTTCTTCAATTTGGTCTGTTATGATGAAATTAGGAGCTGTTGTAAAATTAACAAAATATAGAATGTGCTTAGTAATGAATTAACATAAGAATAAAAAGAAATAAATGCTGCTTCTTATTAGTAGAAAGCCCGATAAACCACCGGCAACGATAATTGCAGCGATTCCTAAATGTGCATTACGTGTCTGCGCTTTCGTCAATGCTGTGAATACCACTTGACGTTAAATTACGTGAAATGTGAAAACGTCTGAGCAAAATTCTCATGACTTTAATTAAATTTTATTAAAATAAATTATTTTTTCACTTAAGCGCCTTTATTTGGAGTATATTTTTAACCTTAAGAACGTGCAGACTTTACAAAAATCTGATGGTGTGCATTTGTTCTATTTATTTGTAGTGGAAAAACCTTCTAGCCGGGCAAAGGCGTCCAATAGTTATTCGTTCTTCATTAATTTCATGCATCGGCATACTTTTCATGAAAGCGCGAGCGTACTCGGGGCGTCAACCGACGTGCTCGAAATTTAGCAAGTTTTGATTACTTGGCAAGGGTTTTATTATTTTTTAGTTAGTTCCGTAGTCATAATAAACGACAAATTGAAACTTTGTCGCAATACATGCGCATGCTCTTCGTGAGAGCTGCTATAGATGACGGGATGTAAAAAGCACGTCTATGCGGTCTAAATTTCATTAATTAACTTAATTTTTACGACTGCGTTGATAGCGTGGACCAATTTTCATCATGAGACATTAAATATTAACCTCTTTAATTAATGGCCTTCCAGCTTATCAAATGTGATTCAAATCATTTTGATGTTAAATTAAATTTATAGACAAATTTTCATTATCAGATATTTAGAAGGCGATCTGTTGCAAAATGAAATAAAAAATAGATTTGCTTGATCCAAATTTGAGACATAAATTTTATATCAATACACTCTTGTGAACCAATCTTTATTATGAAATACCGAACATGGAATTATCTTAAAAATCCTTATGAATCCTTGAAAAATCCTTAAGAAAAAGAGACCAATTAGATCAAATTCGGCGAGATTCGGTAAGAATATCGATTCCTATGCTAATACTATGATGGACTCATTTTCACCATGAAATGTTCGAAACTAGGTCCTCTTACCATATAAACAATTTACTATTTAGTTTTCGTAGGAATGGTGCGAAGATAAAGTCGAATTTAAGTAGCAAAGACACCTACCATATGTGGTAACAAAACTCTGTGAACGCTTTAACAGAACTTTGTTAAATAATTAAAATTAAGATTTAGTTGGATTTGAAAGCCTACTCCGTCCGTATTACACAACGTAAAATATTTTTGTCGATATCTCATGAATCTCAGCTACTGCGCAACACTCAGCGACTGCGCTGCGCCCAAATGCTACGCTGCACCTAGCCACTGTGCTCCATTGAGTTGCTGAGCAGCATCTATCGAATGCTTTACACTCACCTACTACGTTGCACTTGACGACTGCGCTTCAACTGCTGCGCTGCACCCGACTGTTGCGCTGCATCTATCGCATGCGCTACACCCAATTGCTGCGCTGATTCTAGCTGCAGCGCCGCTCCTAGCGATTCCGCTCACTTTTTAACTCTTTTCCCCATTTGCAACAACGTCATCATTCGAATTAAGTCAATCGTTTACTTACCTGGTAGTTTTTCGATTCGTTATTTAGGGTTTAATCATTATTGGTAACCTATGCAAAATTCTTGGTAGTTCAACTCCAATCACATTTACCGCTAAAAATATGGACGTTTTATAATATACATACCTATTTCTTCCATTATGGGTTATTTTCACCCATAATTTTTATGGTATCGCTTAAGTCGCAGAATTGAAATTCGAAATCGATTTAAACACGTTCGACTGCCTGTCTGTCCGCCCTTGTAATGTCTGCTGTAAACATTCTCCCGTTTGCAAAAATAAAATTATAGCCTACAAAAAACTGGCAAACGAATTTCAAAATAACCGAAACGTCTCAAAAGACACGCCTAGAAGACTCGCATGACTACATAATACAATAAAAACTGAGCAAAAGTGCGTTCCGTGGTATTTGTTGATTACTTTCAATTATTCATTAATCACTTACTTTCAATTTCGATTCTAGAATATAGAAAAAATCAGCCACGCCCAATATTTTTTAAAATAACGATAACAAGTATAGAAGATTCGGTAACAAACGAATATAATTTTCTTACTTGTTGTTTTTGGAAAAATATCGAATAACAAAAGACCATTGAACATACACACACACACACACTTATATATATTCTTCAAAATACTTTTTTTATTTAACTTATTTTCTACATTTTTTTTTTCTTCATTTTCTTCATTATTGGATTTTTTGTTATTTTTTTCATATAATTTCTTTTTATGATTAGTTTTTGTGTGATAGTGTGTTTTTATGTTTTATTAATTATTTAATTACGTTTAATTAAAATTAATTGATTAAATCTTTTATGCATTAATTTAGTTCGTCAATGTGACGAAAGTTTTTTTTTTTTTGTAATTTATATTTGTTGCTAATAAATATATCTGTAAAAAAATAACAGGTGTCTCAGGTATGTGTATAACTTAATAATGTAAAGATGTGTGTAGATGTCGTATTGTGGGTTTTTTTTGTTCTTTTTCTTTTTCATTTTAATTTTCGTTATAATTATATTACATGCATTTAAGTTCGCAGTACATGATTTTTTTTTTTAATTTTTATCTTTTATTTTTTTAAAGAATTTTCCTAAGATTGAAGAAATTTGGTTCAAAATTTTAGTTTGATGTTTGATTGATTTTAATTGATGTAAATTAACAAATATTTAATAATTAATTATTCACGTTTTTCATTTTAATTATTATAATTAAAAATATCTAATTAACTCTATAATTATTAGATTTTTGAATTTTTGTTTTGGTTTTTATAACTAACACATGCAAAACAATAAAACAATTTCATGTTTTCATTAATTTTATTTGGCATTTCTTCTTCTTCTGCTATGCGTTTACTTAATATTACTTTTTGGTTTCTTTCATAATTTAGAACTATATATATAATATAATATAATATAATATATATATATATATATATTAAGATTTAAACAATATGTTGTTTTAATATTACATAGTTATTTTTAAATATTTTTTTTCAAATTTTATTAAGATTTTATTAAGATTTTTTTTTTAGTTTAAAATATCCAGGTTTAGGTGGAGAAAGTCGGATTATATGGGGCGGGATTGGATTAGGGCGAGGAAAAGAATCATTCTCTATATAGTCTAGTTAAGCTTAGATTTTAAAGTTTAGAAAAAATTATATACATTTATCAAATGATACGTATAAAAATTTGTTTCTTTTTTGTTCTTATTTTGAGTTTTGGTTTTTTTTTTAGCAAAATTGTTCTTAAATAAAACACATACAAGTAGTAAGTAATAATAGCCTGTTTTTCAGTTGAAGCTTTGGTTGTAGATTTTCTATATATATATATATAGTTGTTTTCAAATTTAAATTCGTTTTTTTTTTATATTAATTCTATATATAAAATTGGTTTTTAACCTAATAAAGTAGGTCTCCCTTTCTCTTCTTTCTCCTCTTCTAAATCTTTTTTTCTATTGCCTATTCCCATAATTTCAATATAATTTCAGTAAAATAATTTCTCTTTTATAAAGACAGAAGTTGTCTGCTAGTAGATCGATTTTGAAGATTCAAGAAGTTTATTGAGATGAAAATTTCGAATGAAAATTTAGCTCTGCTCGATTACAGACTGCCCTGTAATTTTGGTTTCATATGGGAAAATTAAACTTTGAAAAAATTCTGGATTGGGTTAGAAAGTTACGCTGCAAGCGTACTCTTGTATTGCCATTCCACTTAGAATAAGATGTCAGAGTCCTTTAGCGGGATTTTCTCAAAGATTGGTTTTTTCCCGTCGGATCCATTATTGAACTTAGCGTTCTTGTAAACATATTTTATTCTACATTCTTAGAGCGCGTCTCATAGTTCGGCTTTGGACAAAGAAGAAAATACTGGAAAAAAGTTCAAAAATTAAATATTAGATCGAATCACTTTGGTTTTTTTATCAGACATTTTGTTTTCGTTTTCATTGAGTAACAGAATTATATTAATTTAACAGTTTATTGTGAGATATTCAACCTATTCACTATACCTCTTGTTGATTGACACGGACTTTTCTCCAATATTGCTTTTAAAAGGTTGTCGTCGAGGACGTTCTGTGTTGTTTTAAGGTCCAGATCGGAATTTTACAAATCAATTTCTAACTGCCCCATCAGTTATTAGTCCTTTACCCTATGCGCTGCATATTTTTTCAGCTGCCGTCTTAGCAATATTGCTTAGTTTCAATTCCCAAAACCTTACATGTCGAATATGAACTTTTTGACTCCTAATTTCAGAGGTTAAGGGAAAAAGTTGAATGTAATGTGTACAACATAAAACAGTTGGCAGAAGACTAACTGTATCAAAGCTCGTTTGTTTCGGTGACTTATAGTGGGTAAATATGAATAATAGGTTCTACGTGACTGCACCGGAAGTTACTTATGACTCGATCTAATATATTGAAAATTTGCAGGCGGATTATTACCTAAGAATTTTGTTGTACAGGTCGTGAGTGGGTCATTTTGCGGCCTAAGATGAGGCTATCAACAATGAACATTTATGTTAAGCTTGACTTTTCTATTTTAGTTTTCCCGATAGTCCTTACGTATCAGGTAAACGGGAATAAATAATTCAAAAATTCACGCTGTTCAACTAATCTCCTCTCATTTATCGTTTGTGGAAAATATGTTAAAGGGTTTGGTCATCAGACGGTGTTTGGTGCCGCTCTAGTCAGATTGTGTTTGCATGTATGGTAGGATTGGAAGCGAATCGTTGTTTGTGAGGTTCTAAAATCTGGTCAAACGTTTGGTTATAACCTCGATAATCATCCGTCGCACATTTTCGATGGCATCGCTTAGCTGTGAACATCTGATGGTTTCTACGAGAAATTATCAAAATCATTCGGTCAAGTTTCCGGTCCCTGTAAACCACTGAATTTTTACTTCGATGAAATTACGAAAGTTTCCAGAAAATGACCATAGATGATAATGAT